TTCAGATTTTGGCCATTTCTAAGGGAAGCCAAAACGAAATTTTCCAATGGAGGATTTTGTTTCTGAGAACTCTACCTCTCTCAAAGGAATATCGAATGAAACAAGTGGAACTTCACAGAAATCTTTTTCCAGACGCTCAGAACAAGAGACATTCGCTTTTGTTGTTATATATGTGACTCTAGCGTTGCTTGTGATTCTGGGTAACTCTCTCATCATAGCCGTATTCACTAGAAACAGAAAGCTACGAACAGCAACCAATCTCTTTTTCGTGAGTTTGGCAGTTTCAGATCTTTTTGTTGGAACCTTCTCTATTCCTAGTTGGATATACATTTTGCTGTATGATTTGAACCATTTAGCGCGTAGCACTTTCAACCTGTCTTTCCACGCAGTGTACACTTTCGTAGACATTTCAAGTGCTCTAGTCTCCATTGCACATCTTACAGCGATAAGCATCGAACGGAACTTCTCCATTTCAAGGCCACTAAAACACCGAGCTATGGCACGTGTGTACTATCACGTTGCTATTGCCGCAACATGGTTGTATGGCCTTGCCATTACGTACATCTTCGTGAGCGATTTCAAGGCCGTACCCTGGCAGAAATACAGAGTTCTACTTATTACCATCGGAGGCTTTGTTCTCCCCCTTTTTGTCATAATCTGCATGTACGCCGACATTTACAAGAGCGTCAAACTGTTTAATATTCGCCGAAGGTCATATTCCACCAATTCGCTTCAAAGAAAAGTTTTCCGGGAAAAGGCAACCGCAAAAACTGTGATAATTATCACGAGCGTTTTCGTAGTGTCATGGCTCCCATTTTATACACTTTCAATGTTATTTAAATTTTGTCCAAAAGTAGTCCCGCAGGGAGTCAGCCTGTTTCACTTGTTAGATTTTGTAAAGTTTCTCCATTACAGTAACAGCGCTATGAATCCTGTTGTGTACACTTATCGTATTCGGGAAGTGAGAACCACACTGCTTAAGTTTGTTGCTCCGTGTTTAGCACAAGCTCCTATCCCAAAAGCGCCAGCTATGCCGATAGCACCTCAAAGGCAACTTGTTGCTCGTGTCCACGGGACTTCACGTCATTCCGTGTCGCGAGCGCGAGTGAGACCAAAACTCAGTGCTGTGAACTCAGTATGATTAAGCTTGACCTCAGAATTTTTATGACGCTTTTTCTCTTTCATATTCGTCCCAAATTGCAATTTAAACAAGGAGTAAATGTTATTGACGCACATAGTGACAGTAACTGGATTTACGGACTTAAGTGTGACTGTTGGTTTATATTTGTATTGTATATCCCATGCGGTCGTGCCGAGCATGATTATCTAATGATCTGGGGCTCTTTCATCAAATACAAAGTTACTTTTCTGATGCACTGAGCTTTGTATTAAAACGAGCTGTGATGTAGGGTGGAGGATCTCTTAGATGAGGAGCCATTCCTTGAAGTGAATTTCTGTTCGTTGATTCGTTATGCCTCACGTGTTTTCAACTCTTTTACTCCCTAGAGTGATAGATTTATAAAGTGATCATTAATTGGAATATTTAAAATATAAGTGCACTGCTATAGAAACAGATAAAAACAGTTAAGACAACAGAAACCAATGTAAATAATCTTGACACAACATCAAATTCGCAGGGGAGGAATAAGTAGCCGAGAAATCTGACTTTTCATCGTATAATCAAGTCGTGCTTACTGTCTTACATTGAATGATCAGTTGATGCTGTATATACTCACTGAGGTTTAAGTTTCGAAGATCAATCTTGTAACAAGAGTTTTGTATTGATTATATCACTTATAATACTTCTATTAATCATAATAATAATTATAAATATGCATATATATGTATTTCAGAAACTTATTGTATACAGTTGTACTTTTACCTAATATTGGATGTCCTAACTGTAACACGTTAACAAATCACGCTTTTGCCATATAATGTTTAGAATTTAAATGCATTAATTGTTACGTTGAGCTACAGATAGGCTTTGCGATGGGGATGAAAAACAAGTCCTAGTGGCTGAGTGTACATGGTACTTAAATTAATGTCTTCAGGTATATGAGGACATCAACTGAAATAAAAAAATAAAAAAAAAGAACCTTCCGTTCGTCTTTTCCATTTGATAATTGGAAAGAAGGATAAGCTGAAGACAAAGACTTCTTCGAAATCCGTCATTACAGCGAACAGCGTTTTCTCCCAGTTTAGTATTATATTTTGTTCTTCGTCAAACGGTGGCACTGCAATTGTTGTGTCCTCAGGCGGTTAGCAGTGCAAACGTCCACGATGTTAGCTTGTGTGATCCAAAGACATGCCATTCAACATCAAAATGAACTCTCGTGATATAAGACGGTTTCTTTTTTTTTGTTAGTAAGGATTCTGAGTTTCAGAAGATTGCTGGCATGACAAACGGGTTTTTCTCAGAACTAAATGGTTCAAATCAACTACTCTCTCTAAATAATGTAACTTTCTGAGAGACGGTCATCGCAAAAATGCCGCTTTTATATTTTTGTTATGCTGAGTTTTAACCTTGTGAAACTGAATCTACCAGATCATAAAATTGCCAATAGTCACGTACTCAGACTTTCCAAGGCCACGCGGTTGTAAGGCTTCTACATACAGTTGCAGTTACACGGAAGGATCTGGGTACAAGATTATTCTGGAACATTCGGGTGGTCCCCACTTACAAGAAATTAAATAATATAATAATATTACAGTGGGAGCCTGTCATTTATGACCTTCAATGACTTGATCACGGATCTTGTGATGAACCTTTTATTTATTTTTTTTTTCAAATCAAGCGTGGTCGGTGCTCAGTTCAAAAAGCTTGCACCGAAATTATTTGTATTGTTTTTATAGTTTCAGCAGCTGATAGGCAGTCTCCCCAGGTCACCTGCAATATACCACTTCAGTGGGAAACTGGTACCGGTCGCGCGCCAAAAGGCCAGCTGATCCTCGAAAGGAAATTAATCGAGCTACTTTTCCGATGATCAAAATGGACTGGAAAAATGGCGCCTTCAACTGAAATTTATGGAGTAGGTGTTTCCGGGAAAACCACTTACAAAGGTAACTTGGTGCTCGAAAAATATTATCAGGAGAGATTTATGAAGAATATCTTTATTTCCCTATCAAAGGCACAGCAACATCGAATCAGTTTGTACCACAACGGTGAGATGATAAAGGACATGCTGTGATATTTTTATCGAGTTGTCATCAGTAAATGTATTATAATTTTCTTTTAAGGAGTGCGAAATTCGCGTAATCATCGCACAGTAAAAACTATATTTGCTCTCCGAGCGAACAGACCTGTCTATTTCATGGATACGAGTCATGCTGCTTTCAAGATAATTGAATGGCAAACAAATTCTTGACAAAGGAATATCAAAAGCTGAAATTACCTGTTGCAGAAATTGAAAGTATGTCAGTCAATAGAAATCTGGTCTTTTATGCCGTGTGTGAGACGGAAAGTAAAATGTGTAGTTTTTTCAACTAGATTAGGTACATGCGTAGTGGGCATGAACGCAATAATCGATGTTTCTCACTGCATGTGTGGGTCGGACCAGCTGTTTATTCTGCGAAGAATACACATTTACCTTGGAGCAATCGACTCACGACTGAGCCTTTTTTCCATTTTGAATGATACTAATGAATGATACTAGCAAATTTCAATGATACTTTCAAATTATACAAACCTGGCTACTTAAAGAACCTTGTTATTACTAAAAGACAAGTTCACCAGTTATGGCGTATGACACTCCTGTCAAATAATTTCTTTTCTTCACAGGTTCTCGACATGTTGTCCAAAACTGTGGAGCATGTGAATTAAATCTTTAAAAAACTCATGACGGAGATCTCTGGATGATTTTCTCGGTAACAGCAGCATGTCCTATCCGGGTGGTATCGCGAAGATCTTTAACTGTGCTGGCTTTGTGTCTTTTTGCATACGTGTACTGGCTGCACTGCCGCCATCACGTTCATGTTATCTCATCCAATCAAAAGCAATTAAAAACAGTAAAGAACCACACTCGCAATAACGAAATATACGCCGACTTCATGCAAACATGGTGTCGTCTAAAGCGGCTGCGCACAGACTGGAAGGGAGTCTTACGACCATGCGCAGATAACATGAAGTGGGGAAAGAATATGAATTCCTGGCGTGACCAAAGCAGAACGGACGCTGCTAAAAGCTATCTTACATTGTGGGATATAAGACCTGCCGGGCAGTTCAGTCGATTTGAAATCCAGTCTGTAACGAAAGATAACCTTGACAAGACAATTGGTGGGGACTCTTGGCGGGTTCATGTACGAGGTCCCTCCTCGATGTCTCCAACAGTAATTGATCATAATAATGGGAAGTACGAGGTCATTTTTCTTGTTCTGGAATCTGGGAAGTATGACGTGGAGGTGGTGTTGGAGTATTCGTTGTGCGATGGATATAAAGATCCACCAAGAGATTGGTTTATAAAAGGTAATTCAACCAGTAACACTAAACAGGGTTATAGGCGAAACTGAATTTCAAAGAAAGTGCTCAGCCATGTAAAATGTGTTCCTTTATAGGAAACGCTCAAGGTAGATACCAATCACCGGATGCCCTTCCTAGTCGTGAAAAACCATTTCTGTTAAGTCCTTTGTGGGACGGTGCGCCTTTCACCATCCAAATTCCACGTTCCACGGAGCTTCTTTTTAAAAGTAAGTTACTTAGTTCCTTCGATGCTTCTGCACGCTGTAGTCACGTACTCAAGACTTTCCAAGGCCACGCTGTTGTAAGGCTTCTACATACAGTTGTAATTACACGGTAGGATCTGGGTACAAGATTATTCGCGCTGGCCACATCACCCTCTGGAACAATGGCACCCTCAGCTAGTCGCTTTAGAACAGATGATGATGAGTAATGTTATTGATATGTAACCTTCATTTCCTGAAGAAATATAATTTTTGCATTAATTGTGGGTGGCTGATTATTGTTCTCATGATCAAGTTAGCGAAAATGAAAAAATTGGAAAAATGGTAGGGAGCTTGTTCATTATGTCCTTATGAACCAAGGGTTTGAAAGTAACATTTCTTTAGTTATCTTTAATAGCCACCTCAAAAATTATATTCATTTGTTTGCATCTAGAGGTTATTAGCAAGTTTGGCTCTCTGAACACACCATGTGGGATCAAATGTTCTGAAATATGGGACGGCAATGGGAGATGGGTCAATGACACATGGAAACCATATTTGACTGGTAAGTAAAGGAAAAGCTTTTATTTAAAGGTTTATTTCGCTGACAAAGCATTTAATTGTAGACTGCACCGTTTCGATTTCAAGTTTATTTAAGAAAAAAGAATGCTGCAGTTTCTTAATCCAGACACGTAAACTAGTCCGAAATTTAGAAGTTTGAAGTAGAATTATCACATAAATTTAGAAAGATATATCTTCGACAAGTAACTCTTCTCCGATTAATGTATAGTCGACTTTTTTGTCAATCGTTGTAATAGGATAATGTTTATAATCATCAATTCTAGAAAAATCTGGCTCATTAGGAAACAGCCCGACACGAAAACTAGGAACACTGTGGATTTATGGAGACTCGATCGGCGATTTTTTCTACAAGTCCATCGTCAAACAGCCTTTGTGTAAAACATTATTTCAACGATGCAATAACACTTACAACTGGGTGTACGAAATTCCCAACAGAAACTTGACCAGAGCTCGATTAGAGATGGATGAAAAAGACTTCAGTATTAGGAGAGTTCTGACAGAGATTTTTCACGTGATCGATCAGCCTTTTATGGACAACGCCAATTCCGTCTTGGTCCTCAATCTAGGTCTGCACTATGTGCACACAATAAACTTCTCATCGTACAAGACTTTGATTGACAAGACAATTAGATTGTTAAATGATAGATTTAAGACGGACGGTAGATCATGGAGGTTTAGAGGAAAACTCATCTGGAAGACGACAACTGCTATTAATAAAGAGAAGTACGGAGACCCAAAAACTAATGCGCGACATTCAACAAGTATCAGATTTTTGACTTATCAGGTGAGTAAGAACACTTCATTACTGATAAGGTATAATTAAATTAAGGAAAGGTAATTGAAAAAAGGATTAGGAATTTTTAAAAAAAAATTCTGCTTGATTATATGTTGATAACCCATTCAGTAATCATTTGTCTGGACTAATGATGTCTTGCTGCCTTCTTTATCAATTCATTCGTAAAAATGCAGAAATGTTTGGGATTCTTGTAGAATAATTGATGTATGTTTGATAAACCAATATATCTGCTAAACGGGAAATAGAAAAATTTAATTAAAATACTACCAACCTTCAAAAGTCCAACAAGGTAAAATTTTCAACTTATTTAAGTAGTTAATGAACGGGTTTGAACTTACTTTTAATAATAAACCAGGGATATCGTTTTTCTAGGGATATCGTATATCTGTGGTCGCATGGAACCGTATCTCTCAGAATATAATTTCAGAAAGACAAATCTTGTCCTAGCAGCACACTACGAACAACTTTTTCTCTTTTTTCTTTTCAGCGTGTTTTATTATTTAACGCCTATGCTATGGACACCATGTGCAGAGCAGGCGTCAATGTACTTGACGTATTTCCCATCAGCGACGCATATCCCGAGGGGACTGGGCTGCCAAGAAAACCCTATGATGCCGTACATTTCAAGCCCCACGTTTTCCAGCCAGTCGTGAACTTCCTTCATAGTTATTTCGGTGGTCGCCCTTCACCCTGACTAAGGTTTTAATTCTCGAGGAGTTGACCGCGAACTATTCCGTGTCATATCTTTGTTGAGCAAAGATAACGTTAATCTGGCTAACAACATAGATGAATGAGTTCGAGACGCTGTAATTTGTACAAACCAATTGTTCAGTTTCCATCAGATCAGAGAGGCTTTATATTTCGTGGTATCTTGAGACTCCAGGCCTCTCACGATCCTTACTTCAGCTGCAGTTTCACAATTCAGCCTTGTTCTAAGATCGTTGAAATACAACTAGCCTCTTAAGAGTCCTTTTTGTTACGTCGAGTCGAGAGGCACTTAGCTCACTATAACTGCCTTCTTCGGTCCAAAGGTTGGTCAATGAAATTTGTGAAGCACGAGGTGAAGCTTTTGGAGGCCTTCATTATCGACGGGTGTCTCTCTTGGAGTCAAATTTGTTGATTCGCAGCTCTCAATGGGAGAAACTTAGTAAAGAAAACGAACGCCTGTAACGCTTAAAGTTTAGTTTTGTAATATGAGAATGATGATTTTGTTTGACTTAATTGGAATCAGTGTTATATTTTGTCGCAATTTGCAATAAACCTTTAACAGCTATCGGTTTTCCCTCTCTAACTGTTCTCAATTTCCCTATACTCCCGTTTTTATTTTCCCATCTCCAGTTTCCTATCATTAACTTCCTACATTTCATTCGTCATGGCCTGCTCCCTCATCAAAGTTACTTATTTCACAGTTAACTGAGTCCTTTTCACGTTCCACGTTTCACGTTCTGCGTTTCTCTTCCACACTCCCTGTGCAAGTCTCCTATTCCACTGGTCCTATTCGTCGTTCCATAACCTATGTGGGTTCGCATGTAAGCGCAAAACGGAAAAAAAATAAATATGGACTGGACCATTGGACTATTGGCTAAGACCCAACGCAAAAATTTTGACAAAAAATAATTAGTCGAAAACCCGCTCAAAATAATTTGTATGATCACTAAAAACTCCATTGATTAGTAGCATTTACTAATACAACCACCTCTCACCCCTCTTTGCGTAATAATAGTTCGTCTTCTACCCCTCCCTCAGTAACAACAGTTTGCCTTCCACCCCTTCCTGAGTACTGATAGACTGCATCCCACCTCTCTCTGAGTACTAATGGTCTACCTCCACCGATAAAATGGTCCCAAAAAAGGTCCAAAATTGGTCCGAAAATGGTCTAAAAATGGTCCAAAAATTAGCCTCCGTGTAGCCGCACCCTCTCCCCAGAAGGTGAAACTCAGGCGCCTCCATTTCATCTTTGCGGGGGAGGGTGCGGTTACACGTAGGCTATCCAAAATTAAAAGTAGTCCAAAAAATAGTTCAATAATCCAATGGTCCAGTCCATATTTTATCCTACGCCGTGCAAAACAAAATATAGACAAAACAAAAAGATAATAATTCTTATATTGCTGATTTCAATTTGTCCTTTCAAGATAAATGTCAACCCGAAAAATTCAAACAAGGCACGCTTTTCAGTTGATCTGTCAGTTGCGGTATACAAAAACGCAAATAATCTGAAATATCTAATGAAGTAAAAGAGAAAATTCTAGCATTTTTTGTGCATGGATAAAATTCTTCGAAACGAAGGCCCTTTTTCCTGAATTTTTGTCCCGTAGAAGAGTCCAACCAAGAAGTCTTCGCGATTTCGTCCCGTCGGTTTGTAAGTTATAAGAGTCAGTAAAATTGAGCAAAAAGAAAACGCACATTCAGTGACTCGGCAAAATTCCATACTGAAAGATCGTGCAATTCATGACCCGAGGGAAAATTCACTAGAGTTAATTATGACAATTAACACTTCGATGCTCATTGACTAAAGATAAAACAGATAAAACCACAGGGATTAAGCATTCTATGCACTGATTGTTTACATAAAGCAAGGGATTGGTGGAGGCGGTGTTCATTGAACTGCTAACAGAAGACACACTGTTGACGTGTATACCTCGCAGCTGTCTCGCGTCGGCTTGTCTGATCACAGAAAAATATGCCACTTGAAACTTTGTCCAAGAGTTATGAAGCCTACGAGAAAGCTTTTCAAGCCTTTTTGGACCACTCTACTGCCAGACAGTCAATTGTGAAGTGTGTACAAGATGGAACGAAGCGAGCGCTCGTGGCGATTTCATCTGTGTGTGACAAGAATAAGCCGTTCAGGATGTTAGGAATTGGTAGCGGAAAGGGTGAAATGGATGTATTGATGATCAACTCCGTAGCTGCGCATTTGAAAGCTAACGAAACTGATGTAAAACCCACTATCCATAGCGTGGTTGTGGAGCCGAGCTCATTTCTTTTAGAGAAGTTTAAAGAATCTGCCTCGTCAATGCCAACTTCGCTGATAGCATTAGCTGAAATATCGTTTGAATGGCGGCAAATGACATTTCAAGAATACCAGCGCCTAATCGCTGATGACAAGAGTAAACCATCCCTAGATTTCATCCACTTTATCCACAGCATTTATTACATGGATGCCGAAGATGCTCTTCGATCGTGCTTCAGAAATTATCTGGGAGAAAAGGGAGCCATCTTATGTCTCGTCCAAACCGAAGCCTCCTTCTTTGCTAAAGTGCAGAAGAAATTTAAAGGAAAGCTCACCTTTGGATCCGAGGATATGACCATCTACACCAAAGAGGACCTCGCGGCGATAGCAGCGAGGAGTACCGGATGGTCCTATGATGAAATAACACAAGAATTTTCTATTGACATAACGAAGTGTTTTGGAGAGCCTTCAGAAGAGAGTGATCTGCTCTTAGACTTTTTAACCCATCAGAAAAACTTTCGAGTCACCGCAGATCAGGGTTTGAAGGACGAAGTTATGGATTTCTTCCGAGAGTCAATGGTGACGGACGAAAGTGGAGGAAAGTTTTTGAAAGCTGAAATGGCTGCTGTAATAATTCATAAGTAACTCCATTGAAAGAGCTTGGACTGAAAGTCACATTAATTCCGCAATCTTATTAGCCTAACAAGACATATAAACCGACACACGACAGTTATATATCTATTTACAGCATTTATTTCAAAACTTTGTTTCTAGTGGTTGTGACCTTTTAGGATATTTTCTTCTTGATATAAGATAAACGAGGACGATTATGGTGAAACAAAACAAAACTTATCGAGTCACTAAACGTTACCAGCCGTGACTGTTTGTTGTAACGCTACTCACCTGACATCTCATAAATCATACACGGACTTGAGCGAGCAAAGGAAGCCGCTGTCGACTTTTTCCTTAATCTAACTCTACGCAGCAGACAAGCCGCACAATCCATTCAAAGGAAGATCTGGAACTAGAAAAAAAACACTTAAATACTTAATTCACTCGGAAATATCGTAGACCGTATTTTATACCATAAGTGTTTCCTCTATTTGTAGTAACAAAGTAGAAATTGGTCGAGGATTGCGTCAAAACACCTCGCGTGAGGTGATTAAAGAAGGGGCGCTAAATTTCAAAATAGGTTCATCGCGTTTTGTTAATGTTACCGTGGAAGTCATTGATATATACGATAGAAGACAATTCACTTCCGAAGAGTGCAAAAGAGGCTATCAGGTTTGGCGTAACAATTTTCAAATATTCTTTAGATATTGAATCAAATATTCATGTTAAACTCTGGTAGAGATTGGCTGCTTATCTTGATACGAGTAATCGAAACAATCATAAGAGGATGTTTTCAATGACAAAAAACAAATTTACAACAGAAATCGAAAGCACCCGATATGAGTAATCATACTAAAAACAATTATTCTCCTCGGGCCCAGGGAATATTGTGGAATAATCCACTCGGCCTCGTCTCGCGGATTATGCGGCGATTCACATGTAACGTGATCCCAGCGATCCATTTTATTAAAATTAGGTAAAAATATTTATACATTTTTTTTACTGTAGTTCAAACTTTTCGCATCTTGAACCAGATGATATCCGCGGGCAAATATCAGTACACATTTTCGCGCCAAATAGAGGCTATTGTTCACGTATACCTGAATATGCAAATATGTATTCACAGACAATTTCTTCAGAGCCTAGAACAGTAATAAAAGGTAAAAAATGAGCTAGTCTTCTGTTAAACTTTCCATTCAGATGCCGTTCTTCTCCTTCACTGTGTGTATTGACTGCCGCTTGGATCTACGCCACGCACTCAGTTTTGGTACAAGCGTATGTTGCGGCATCATTTGTTTGTTTATGGCGGGTTTTCTTGGTGCTTATTCAGTTTTCAAGATGGCTGCCTCAAAACAAACTCCAAAACTCGTAGAAGTAAGATCATGCTCTATCGATTCGAAAATATCAATGGGTGGAGAGAAGTTCTTATCGCCTCTGAAACCCTCTTTACGCGCTGATTTGAAATTCGCACGAACTCTCTGACGGCTGTACGACACGATATACTCTGGGAACGAAAGTGGAAAAAAGGACTTTCACTTCCGCCTGTCAAAATGGAAGCCTTGAAGACAATTCGGAGAGGTCTCGCTAAGGTAAGTTATAGTGTAATTATACATGACTGATCATCATTCAGTTCCTTTTTATTCCACCATATCTCTCTCTCTCTCTCTCTCACCTCGAAAACTTTCTTTCCTCTCCAATTCCTAAAAACTTCAACAAATCACCGACGGAAGCTACATGGGTGCACGCATACCACAGCGTATGTGTTTAGTTACAATGGTGTAAATGTAATCTTGCTTCATAACATAATTACAGTAACAGTAACGCGTGAGTAGCCAACCCCATTTCCTGATGAAGACTAGCAGAAAGCAGTCAAAACGCCGCGAACTACATCTTAAGTGACAACATCGTGAGACAAACGATTAAACAGTTTATTATTAATTACCACCACGATGAGCAATAACCTCTTTTAGATATAAATTTATGACTTGCTCTACTAGTATGAATTTTCCAAGCTCTGTAAAGCTGACGTGTTAGAAGTACTCAAACATTATCCTACCCTACTGCCATCTCAAGATAGGTTTGGTAAGTCATATTCTGTAATAATAATTATGCAGTAAAAGAAAATTCTAATCCTGTCTTTTTGAGACTGCAGTCAACAGATTGAATCTTTATCAAATCATTTTAAAAAAATTGAAACTTTATGAGAGAAAGCCTGTGTGCTTTGCAAATTCATAATGGAATATTAACAACCCACTTTTTTTATTAGAAACATTTAATTGAAAATGGGTCTCAATGTACTGTATAACTTAATTGAGAACATTGAAAGCCACAATTTGGTCGAATATGTCATATTTTCAAATGTAGTATTTCTATAATACTGTACATCTTGGGACAATTCGGCCAATGTTACCTCAATTTCATTTGATCTCAATTACCTGCCTAATTAGTATGATGTAGCACATTCAAGTTTGCATGTTCTCACATAACAATATTGGTTACAAAGTTATGTTTGATTTAATTGTCACATGCTATGACCAAGTTGGGAACTCTACGACTTAAGTTGCACATTAATTTTTGGGTTCTAATGGAAGTCAGGTACTGGTGATATCTTACCATACCAGATCAGTAGCAGATCCAGACCTTGAGTTAAGGGGGGGGGGGGACCTGGTTTTTTGTTGCTTTTCTTCCTTCTGCAACTCTTTATTTTTACCCAAAATAAGGGGGAGCCCAGGCCCGCCTTGGGCCCTTCCCCTAGATCTGCCATTGTAGATAGACCTCTTACAGCCTGCTGTGAAGAGTATAGCAGAATGTGATGAAGTCTTATGTGTGCAAAGCTATCCTGCCTTGTTAAATGTATAGTAAGAAAAAAAAATATGCTCTTGCATATGCCATACTCCGCTGATAGGCTTACAGCTGTTTGCCATTCTAGATATTTACTGAATTAAATATTTATTCAGATTTTCGCAGAGCTAGCTCATATTTGATGGAAACAGTAACCTAATTTTATCATTGCAGGTAATATATATCTAATGAAAAACTTTTGAAATGTGCACATGCATACTTTATTAATTCCTTACTTTATTTAACCTGCAGTATACAATGATGGAAGTGAAGTTGAATTATTTAATCTAAAGGGAACAATTCCAGTTCTAATCAGAGGTGAGATTGGATTTATGTCAACCAGTTTATACACAGTGTGATTTGGTTTTATCAAGTAAGCTGATAATGTAAGTTGGCCATAATGGCCATTGGCCTATTCAGGTCAGCTGACTTGTTCCGTCTTAAAAATTATGATATTACCTTGGAGGCAGTCTTCAGATTGCGTGATGTAAATTTCTTGTTTATTTCAGGTGTGAAACACCAGATTCCATTGCAAATTTGGCTGCAGGAAAGACATCCTTGTGTTCCACCATTAGTGTTTGTCACACCAACAAGTACAATGGCAATCAATCCGTCTCCACATGTGGATACCAATGGCAAAGTTTACCATCCCTACCTACATGAATGGAAATTCTCTTCTCAAGTATGTTTGCTAACCAATATACATTTTTTTCATGTGTAAAATAAGGGTCTTTTTTCTCACAAATATATATCCAATATTATTTTTTGCATCATTAAGCTTCCTTTGTGTGTAAGATGATTTGAATGTTGGGTTATACCATATAATTTAAAATGTATTTCAATATTTATGTGTAAATTCTATAAAGCTGAAATTCTGCTTAATAGTGAGCACATTAAAAAATGAAAAGGAGAGAGAGAGGAAACAGGGTTTGTTTGGGCCCTGGAAAACCTAGTAAGTTGTGAAATTTTATTTTGACATTTTCAAGGATTGTTAAGTCCTGAAAAAGACTACAGGTCCTGGAAAGTCCTGGGAATCTGCTTAACTCAAGCAATAAAGTTTACAGAATTTTTGCTGTAAGAAATGAATGAAAACTATGCAGAAAATTGATTTTGAAATCTTAAGAATAAAAGGGTTTAAGGTGAAATTTGGAGTACTGAAAAAAAATCTGAATCATGGAAAAGTCCTGGAAAAGGTTTTGAAATTTGTTTCTGAAAAAGGGTATGAAACCTGAAGAAAAACAAAGATCAGGAAAAACATATTTTGAGTTACAACTTAGATATTAGTCTTCAACAGGCAAATAAAAGAAGAAAATTGAAAGATGAGGTGCAGGTCTTTTATAGGGAACCAAATATTGAAGTGAAATTTCAAAATCCCTCAATTCCTATGGAAACTCATCATAGTATAGACAGGATATCATCTGAAGCCATAGGCGTAATATTTATCAAAAGAGTCAGGACTCTTAACTTCAAATGAGGTTTTGAATGCTCCTTAAACCTGAGCAGTAAATTTTTCTTTAATCTTGTTAGATTTTAGTCACTTGTTAAAAAAAACAGATTTCTACAACTTAAGACTATTACTTTTCTTTCCCAACTTGGAAAAAAGTGGTGGTAGAGTGTTCATCCACAATGTCTCATAATAGAAGTAAATTATCTATGGGCTGGTTTACAATTAAAAGATACTCCTAGGTTTAATGCACTGGCTGATAATGTAATATGTTTTGTTCAATATTAAACCTGTAAGTGTCATATTCCCTTTTTTCAGGACGTATTTGATCTTTCAACTCTGCTTAAAACTCTTTGTGAGGTGTTTTCTTTACAGTCACCAGTTTTTAAACGCATGTCAGATACAAGTACGTATGCAATAATGGTTAGCTCAAAGTGATTTTGTACTTATGTAGAGAGTAATTTTACATATCTTTTGATATCCTTTCTCGTCATGCTTTAAGTTATGTTTTTGATGAATGTAATTCTATTAATTGCGTCTGATTTTTTCCACATACGTAACTTTACATTTATCTGTTCCTCTGGAACATGAGCCTACCAGACCACAGGATCTGTTGTGTCCTCCTAATTATCTCATGTTTTTCTGCGGTTATGATTTTTAGAGGTCTCAAAGCAACAGCTCTTTGTCTACCAAAAAGAAAACAACAGTGACAAAACAAAATATGACAAAACCAAAAAAAACTAACTTGGCTCGTGGCCTTTTAGAACGCGCGCATTTCGGCTCCTGGTTAACAATACTTCACATTTTTACCTCCTGCCCAGTGACCCAGTCGCAACAAATTGGAAATTCACGGTCTAACTTGCTGGAGGTGAATTCCTCTATACCAAGAAGAGCACCTACAACAGAAGAAAATATTGTTTTACAAAGGCGGCTTATGACGGCAGAACAACAACTGAGAGTGAAAAGTGAAGAACTAGGCCAGCAGCGGACACATTTCCTAGCACAGCTTCTAGAAAAAGAAGTGGAAATGTCAAGCGTGCAGAGACAGTTGAGGGAGATATCACAGCAGCTTGCAGACGTCCAAGGGCAGTTACAACAAAGAGATCAAGAAGCTAATAATTTGCAGAATCAAGTTACTGCCTTGGAGAGACAGCTGAGGATTAAAGATCAAGAAGTAAATGAACTGGAGATATCTCTTTCAACAACGCAGCAAGTTTTAAATGAAAATCCACGCCAACAGGCACCTGAATGGATCATATCACGCGATCAAATTCAACTTACAGATAAGTGCCTTGGGAGGGGAGCCTGGGGAAGTGTTGTCGAAGGAAAGTATCGTGGATGTGTCGTAGCCGTCAAACAAATCCACGAGATGATTCTGTCCCCTCATAATCGGAGATTGTTCGAGCGAGAAATGAACATTGCCTCACGATGCCGCCATCCGTGTTTGCTGCAGTTCATTGGAGCAACAAACGACGAAGGAAGTCCTCTCTTTGTCTCAGAGCTCATGGAATCGAGTTTACGAGCATTGTTAGAGCAACAATCTCTTTCCAGTACTGAAGTGTCTGTTATTTCTCTGGATGTAGCTCTAGCATTAAACTACCTTCATTTAAAAGAACCATCTCCCATAATTCACCGTGATATCAGCAGTGCCAATGTGTTGCTATGGCGACAAGCTAACCGATGGCGAGGCAAACTGTCAGATTATGGAACTGCTAACTTTATGCAGCAGACTATGACAGTAGGTCCTGGTGCTATGATTTACAGTGCACCTGAAGCCCACACTAAAAGTCAAACTGTGAAGGTATGTCTGGTATGTCTGTATATTTGGTATTGATATCAGTTTTAAAGTCGTCCACTAGCCTTTTTATTGGGACTCATGATGAGATTTTGATCAAATAAACATAAACTTTCCTGAGAGATATCCATTGGTTATAATTATGGAAAATACTTCGGTATACGAACGAAGCCTAGGATTAGCAGTTTCCAAGGCGCCCCGCCAAAGCAATATATTTTTTTACTCTTCTTGTCTTTATATTTTGTTTCAAGGTCGATGTGTATAGTTTCGGAGTTCTCCTTTGTGAGATTTGCATCCGGGAATTGCCAGATCCTGACAGGCGTGACCAGCAGGTCGCCATGGTGACAGATCGCACTCTTCGAGGTCTCATTCGTCGATGTATTTATCAAGATCCTGAGGCGCGACCCACTATGGAAGACATCATTGAAGAACTAGAACAGCTAGTCTAAGAAAGGTTTTTTACAGGATCTAATGTCTGACCTCTTATCATTCTTTTGAATTTGGGCCATTTCACGGAACGTGACAGAACTGTCACATTGCCATAACTGCTTCTCATTATATTGTCACGTTTTAGACAGATCTATAAAATTTAATATCCATGGACAGAAAGAATCTTTTACTTTTTATAATTGCTTTTATTTTTGGTCAAATTTACTGTAACAGTTGTTCAATTTTATAAGCCAACGCTTGATAAAGTAAGAAAGAAGCTTCAGCGAGTCAAGGCTTAGTTGCCCGAGACTCTTTTTTTCAGCAATGCTGTAATTGTATATAAATAGGTTTATTGATTGGAATAAGTAGACTTGATATTGAAGTGATATTGGGACTGAAGAACCCCGGTTTAGAGTTACCGCAAAGGTTTTTAAGTACAGTTAAACCTGTGTTAAGCGGTCACCCACGAGGGTGGTTTGGTGACCGCTAAATACAAGTTGACCGCCTCATACAGGTTCCATAGAATAGGGTATTTTGCAAAAGAAAAGGAAAAACAAAACGTCATTTTATGCCTTAATTGACACAGAAGTTCGTTCAATAATTTTACCAACATTGATACCATGGGATAAATATGGATTAAATTTTACGTGAAAGATTATTCCTATTGTTATTTAGTGTTTCCTTCTCAAGTTACCGTTCAGTACAGGTAGAAGAAAAAACAAACAGGCCGTTGGGACTAAGTAAAGGGTAACCACTTAATAGAGGTGAAAAATACAGTAGTTATGGGGAACAAATTTCAGGACATTGAGTACCGACCGCTAAATACAGGGGACCGTTTAATACGGTGCCGCTTAATACAACTTCAACTCTATTTGATATACCCTGCATAGGACACTGTTATGCTATCTATATGTGTTGATACTGTAGTTTAGGTTGTTATAATATTAGAATAAAATTGTGACTGGATGGACCCGGTTGGGAGTCGCAATAAAGTATGTATGCATGTAAAAGCATCCTGCAAGTATAAGACAATGTTGTTTATTATCTACTCTAGCTTTTATTTCTTTGCGGATAATTTCTTTTATGGTAGCAGTTTTTTTTTCTTCTTTCTTTTGGGTTTTTTACATTTTTTCCTCCATATTTTTAGACTATCAGTTTAGAAAATTTACGTTTTTTGAAAATGTACGAAAGCTCACTGGCTAGTGCTAGACTTGCGTTCTCACGTGGATTGTAGCCAGCAATCGTAACCACTACCGAATGCCTAGAGAACCAAGGTAGAACTAGTTATATAAGTGAACGATTGTTTAATAAAGTGCTTTGCAACTCAAATATTTATGGACGCAAATTATATAATTTCAACTTTGTAATATCCTCTCAAATCCCGTCACTCGGTGTATTCCCTGTAGTCGACTTTCTTTTGCTTAGCAACTGTTTTATGAAAGACTTTTTCCATGGAGAGGTGGATTTGAGAAATATGTTTTAAGAAATATCATTCTTGCTGTTTGGAGATATGTTTAACCATCGTTAAACCATACGCATTCGTAAAGGGGAAAAAAGTAGTTTATCATGCGTTACGATCGTCTGGATGAGAGTACATCTAAAAGAGACTTTTGTCGATTGTTGTCAAATAGAGAATTTCTGAGCTAGAAAAGATCAGTTCGTTTGTCTCGCAAATCACATTCATCAAAGGTGATTGGCAAAGTGAACTGTCTTCCGTCCGGTTTGCCTATTACAAAATGGTTGGAGTTTGAAACCTTAAATGCGTGAATGTCTGTGTATTAGTCCGAGCACTATCTTGCATCCCTTAAGCCGTGTTTCTTCTACACCTTTCGGATGGTGCGCCTCTTTGCCACAGCCATGATCTGTGTTATGAATCCATTGATAGTCATGGCCTTATCGTTTCCTGGTTTGTACACAGATACTTTACGTATCCGAGGTTTATAGGGTGGGGGTGGGGCGCACTTAACATTAAAGGGCCAATCACACTCGCCCGTGTTGTAGTTATAGTGCAAACCTCTCGGACAGGTCTCCCTCTTCGTCTCTTCCAATGAACACGAGTAGAAACTTGAGCAGTCGTATGGGTCCGCGTAATTTCCGCTAGGTCTCTCTAGGCAGAACTCCTTGTCCACTTTTAAAATAAAGAATAGAAAGAAACAGGTGCGTGTTAACGATGATTGCTTCGTTATGAGCTTGACTGCTTCATTTCAAGATAAAGTTTCAAGAATACGTCTTCTGAATATTAACAGATCATTGTATGACTGAGTGACACTCTCTAAGGCACCATCTATTTTTTCAGTTAAGGCTGATGTAGTTTGCGATTTTCATAATCTCGACTTCATAGTGGTTTTATTGTCAACGGTAATATACCGGTGCATTCAAAACGAATGCAGATATAAAGCGCTCACTCTACCTATTACTTCGTTGGTATTTGCGTCGGATTTTACGGCTGGTCTAACTGGTTTTACTGGTGTCAATGGCGTGTTTCCATTTCTGTCTGAAAAAGGATAGAAAGCAAAGAAAGAGTTTGAGAAGTGTCCATTAATATTTTTGGTCTTGTATCATATCAAGGATTCTGCGGGCTTATATTTATGAAACTGTCACGAACAGTTTGGAAGCTATTGGCTACTCGATTTCCCGCCGATTATAAGTCTCATGTCCTTAGCCCCAGTCCCACAGCAACATAGCTGCAGAAAAGGATGGTTTTCATTCTCACTTTAAGATTAAAAAATTTGGAAGAATTGTTCATTTTTGTGTTTCTAGATTTAATTAGTATGATGGAAGAATAAAAAAAATCGTGTTTCTTCGACTAAACTTTTGATATGCCTACCCGTCGCAAGATTGCTCATGCCCAGGCTTTCACCCGTGTCCATTCCTTGGCGGTGAGTTGGTTTGACTTCCGGTTCAGTAGATTCTGATTGCCCAACTTCAGTGCCTTCTGTCGTCCGGCATGGAAAGCTCTGTGGTGTGTCACATGACTTCAGTAAAGCATTGAACACCATTCCTTTCAAACAGTGTCTCTTTGTAGCTCTGCCATTCAGACATTGGTAAAATGATGTACAGTTGTTGGGGTCTTCGTAGAAGCCATCAAGTTTAGTAACACAGAAGGTTTCGTCCACTGGAAATTGAGGGCAGTCAAAAGTTTTCAATTTCAAAAAAGACAATCGTATGCTTATTCTCATCAAGAATGTTATATCATAGTTTCTTTCGATCAATAAGAGGATGAAGCTTCTATGCTTTTTTGGAATTCATGCACTTTTCTGGCAACCACCATGGCTTTTGTTCATTTAACGTTTTATCTTTTACAAAATTAAGGCTTTACGATTTTTACTTGTTCAAATCGGAAGATATCGTCGACCAGATTCCCTTCTGCGGTCATTTTTTGTTAAAAAATTCTAGGAACATCTTGCTCGCGGAGCGTGTGTTAATATCAAATAGTAAACCCGAACAACGTGTCTAAAGTAGATACATACCTCTTTTTAATAAATCCGGGGTCGGTTGATGTATGTTCAGTTCCATCTTGGGGGATATCGCTGAACTCGTAAATTTGTCAGCATTTAGAGGGCTGATGAGTGATCTTTGGCGACATGGAAAATTTGTCGGATTGTCACATGACTTTAGCATATCGTTAAATACTTGGCCCCTATTACAACGTCGTCTGTAGGTAGTGCCTTTAAAGCACTGATAAAATGCTACACAATCCCTGGTATCTTGGTAGTAACCATCCAGTTTGTCTCTGCAAAATGCCTCATCACCTGTTAAACCCAAGAATGCAAAATGGACGTGAAGAGGAAAAAACTGCTTAAAACTCGATGGCTCTTGGTAAGACTTGATCGCAAGGGATAGTTACTGCTCTTAACTATTGACTATTTTGATAAATATAATGATAACTTAATTTCGACTTACTGTATAAAATTTACATGAAAATCATTTATGTGAACTGCGGATTACAGTAATGAACACTACTTAAGCAGTAAGGAAAATAAGGCCTGAAAAAATTCAGGCCTGTACGGGATTTGAACCCATGCATGTATGACCTCTGCGATGCCGGTGCAGCGGTGAGGTGGTCAGTATGTTGGTTTATAATAAGCCGTTAAGGGATAAACGAATGACTGTAAATACATAAAAATGGCATATGTGGATTGCGGATAAAGAAATGAATATGAAAGTGATCTTCGCAGTAACGGAACACTACTTAAGCAATAGTAAAAATAAGGCCTGAAAAAAATTCAGGCCAGTACGGCATTTAAACCCATAACCTCGACTGTCAGCTTAATCGATCTTGTGAGTTGTCTACCTGTCTCGTCGTCACTTTTTCCTGAGTTAGGACCTTGACCATAACATGTGATTGTACGTGGGTCACTTCCTGTTAAAAAAGGGAAACATAACATCTAGTGTGACATGACATGACATGCATCCCATAACCGGAGATTTAATCAGATGATAGAATATGAACTGAGGTTGCATGGGCAAAAAGAGCAAAAATGCCAACAAAGATGATTGAAAATAAGTCGCCGTAGACCCTCTGACTCTGTTCGTAGCTGAAGATAAACTTAATGGACACAATTTCCCCTTTTCCTCTGAGACAACATGGCATTTTTCATTCAATTTCATATTCCGGAGTTAATAATAATTCAGATTCTCACCTAAATTCTACCGATGTTTTAATCAAATCATAAAAGGTATATCCCTAGTTATAGCTCTTATTGGCTGATTCGTAACTTGTGACCCACCTTTTATGAACCCTGAGAACTGCACAGAAGAAGTAAGATCAACGTTATTCTTCAGCTCTGTGATGGTCGACTCCACTTGCTCTCCGCTAACACTTGTCAAGCGTACTCGCAAGGGAAAATTTATTTTATTAGGTGATCCCACCAGGAAGAAATTATCATCTGTTCTCGGAAGGCAAATCCATCTCCCACTTTGAAAAATCTCTAGTCCAACCGTCACTACCCTAGCAGAAAGTAAAAAAGCCTACTGAAGAGAATAGATTTGGTAGGAATATGCATTAGGTATTTACAAGTTTCAACTTGGACCTCAAACACTCATAAGAATGGTGAACATCACATGGAGAGATCTCTACAAAGTGATTTTGTAAGATATAAGAACAGTCCGTTACAGATTTGACTTCAGTAACGGTAATTATATGATGGATCGTCAAACTCATCAAAGGACCTAATCACAACAAGAACGAAATAATTTAATGAACTCCAGAATGACCAGTCGCAGATTGTAAACCCTACCAGTGAAAAGTATATATGAGCGGTGATCGTCTTTTAATTTTAATTTGGCACATATATCACAGATAAAACTTGCCTGGAATTTCGAGTTTGCAATTTCATGGCCCATGGGTTGCTCTCCACGAATCTGAACTTGATGTTTCCATTTATGCCGGAAACTGTTGGACAATCGATCGCTTTGAACTGAGTCTTCCACTGGTCAGAACCAGGGGTATACAAGTCGAACCCTGAGATAAATTGACGCGGTAGAGTGTAAATTTCGGCTTGAGAATAAGTAGATGTCATTTATTGAATTATTGTTTTCGGGATAAAGTAACTCATTCATGCGAAATTTTAGTCGTTTAAAAGTATTTGAAGCAAGATTTCTCTCTCCCCTTTTATTTCCCCTTTACAGAATACTTCTTTTTAACCATAGTTTCTGATCCCTATAAATATCTCATGACTGCGTGGAAATGCCTCAGGAACAACGCAAAGAAACGTGTATCATGAACCAGAAATAAGGAAGAAGAGAAATTGTTAATGTATGCCACAGCAAATGGCTCTCAAAACTGAAAACGGGTCTGTAGCATTGTCGGTTATCTAAGTACGTGATAGTTCAATAAATTTTTTGAGTGAGATATCGCTATTCTTTCCTGTCGTCTTAATGCAGAAAAGTAATTGACACGCGATTACTTTTACCTTGTTTACAGTTTCCACAACGATCGATCACAAATGCGTATATTGGGCCTAAGATTGGTGTCTTTGGTATTCTTCCTTTTTCAGTAAGATCGGCAAGAATTCCTTGACCTGTAATTTCCACGCACATTCCACAGCCAAGTGATTTTTGAAACTCTCCATCGCTTGCTGCGACCTTGATCCAACCCTTATGGCTGTAGTCTGATGTTAAGGGGTCTAACGAACACGCTCCACCTCCTTTGTAATAACCGTAGTAGGAGCTCTGTTTTGTGATAGATAGAAACAGTTACATCAACAGACGTAAACTACAAAAGACAAAACACACTTTACAGGCATTCATGTGATATGGATATTTTGTTCTTTTTATTTATTTTTATCCTATTTTAGCACTGTTTTGTGGCCGGATCCTTCGTGCATCAAACTGACTGCCATGCAAGAAAAAAGACGCTGAATATCAAACAACACAGGAAATTTACACCAGCCTCCAAACGAAGCAATCTTGTCCAAGCGGAAAACAGGTCTTCACAGTTTGAGACAGAAAAAATGAAATTCATTTAACTTTTAAGACAATTTTTATTTTTCATTTAACACCGAAAAATGCCACTTACATTTCCGTCCATTAGTTGACCACTGTAATGACGCCACATTGCCATTAGATTTTGAAAGTCTGTCACAGCCTTTGCGTAGAATAACATAATTCACTTTTTTAAATATAATTCTTCTTGGTTACTGACCCAAAAAAATACTATTATAGTCAATTATCTTTCGAGTCAAAATAAATTTTGTGATGATAGACTGTGATAGGCATAGACAGCTCTACCTAAGAAATAAACGACAGGCAGAAAGAAGGCACGAAAAAGTCTTACGGAGCAAGCAGACTGGATGATAAAACTATCAATTCGATACCACTTCATGGAAACAAGTGTTTCTTAAGAGATTCAAGGTATCTTTTCATGCAAATAAATAATTATGGTGTCGTACATTTGTAAAAACAAAATCACAAACCTCAGAAAACTCTATACACAGCCAAAGAATCAGTATCACTAAGCTTTTCCGCCTGGTTAGCAAATTCATTGCTCTTAAAATCTCACTCAGAATTCTGCAGTAAGACATAAGAGCAAATAAGTGGATTGCGTACTTCTTAATGAAATACTTTGACCAACCCCGAAGAAAAACCATTCCGACAGTTGTGTTACTTCTGAATTCGTGGCGAGACTTGATTCATGTTATCAATTAAAATTGGTAATTGGTGCCGTAAGAGCGTACACTTTAAAACGACATCACCTGCTAGCCAGTCAAATAAGTCATGTGTTAAACTTGAACAAATATTACCGCAGTAAAATGGACTGATACAGTTTTTCCCTTTACTTTTATGTACCTTATACTTTTATATGACCATATTCCGCGCCTTAACAAAGAATGAAAAGCTATTGAATTCGAAATGCCTCTTAAAATTCTTATGTACATGGATAAGATTCGCCAACAAACAAGTGGAAAGCTTGAAATGAATTAGTACTGATATTTTAAGCTGGTGGTTAAAAAAAAGGTTTTGGATGAGTATTTCTCGCCCGCAATATTCATCGTAGTTTTTAAACTATTCGAAATTGAATTGCTTTGCACTCTGATATGGTAATATAAGTTCCAATTTACACGTTTGTAAATATTACTTACCGTTTTCATTGTTGTCACTAACGAAAAGGAACAAAGAACAAACAATAACACACAAAAGACATTACGAAACATTATTCTTGACCTTATTGGCAGGTCAGTTTAACGGGTAATTTCAGAGGTCAGTGGTATTTGTAGAGGCTTTTTCACATCCATATATGGTCATATCACTTTCCATCTCAGTGGACACCATAGTTCATGATCAACTACGAACAATGTCGAATATCTTCAAAGTGCGCGGTTATTTCGAATACCAAGTATTTTGTGTTATTTTAAAGACGCTAAGGTATTACTTTTTGGAACAATGTACAGGAGTTTTCTTTCACTAACTGATTTTCTCTTTCTTGATTGTATTCATCAGTTCATGGTGTCCATAGACATTTGCCTTGCGTTCAAAGAAACCAGTCTTAAAAGTATCGCTCGCGCAACGTGTTTTTTCATTCGTTTCTGTTTTGGTCTTGAACTAAATTAGAACTCAAAGACATTGTGAGGTGCTATTGATTTATTTCGAAAGACGTATTTTCTTTTGATCTGGGAGACTAGCTGTGGATTCAAACCAGGTTTCAAAGGACAATAATATCAAATAGACCCAATTACAGAAATGAACTATGGGATTTCTTGGAATCATTGAAGAAAGCAAAAGAGTGTACATGGTGGATTTCTGTCCACCGAAAAGGGGCTAGTTCCGTCAACTATCAAACTATCCTCTCAGTTATTAACTCCGTCAGTCAGTCAGTTGTTAAGTAGGTCGATAAGTCCCTCAATCACTTCCGTCAATCAGCAAAGAGATGATTTACGTGCGTACCTGATTTTTCTCAACGGCATCGATAGCTATTGATAATTGAATCATATATAAAAAACAGTTCTTTAAAGCCCAATGGAAGTTAAAATCGTTTTAAAATAATCAGTGATTCGAGTTAACCGAATGACATCTTTGGATTTATGCAAATACACTCATAAATAGTATCGTTGGAAACTTTCATTTGAATTGGCAACAAATCATGAGTTTATCAGCAGATGCAGGGCAATTTTCGATATTATTCTCAGCGTCATCTAGAACCGTTCCTCCAAATTGAAAAGGATTTATTTCTGGTAGAAACGAAAGAGCATCAGATCAACAAAATGTGCTAACTAGAAGAGTCAGGCTTCTCATTGGTAAGGCTCAAAGACAAACTCTTTTATTCCTTCCAGTTTTGATTACAAGTCGTCAGATGGCTTTCGAAAAACATAATTAAATCAGGAGTATTGCCACGTTTTATTTATTAATTTTTTTTTAAATTTAAATTTTTAATTTTCATTCAATTAGACTGGTCTAGTTTGTGCAAAAGAGTGTCCATGTTTCATATTTTTAAGCCTAAGAATAAGTCAATGTTACTTGGATTTTTGTTTTTGTGTGCTATCAAAGCCACATTTAAAGATATGTTTGAAAGCTAAGAAAGATTCCGAGGTCTTCTTCAGGTGACGATTCTTTTTATTCTCCTTTTGTTTTCCTTTTGTAGATATCTGATGACTAAGATAAACCCTTCCAAGAATGTCGGCTTGTAATCCAAGTGGATCAAATATCTATACACACTTAAATATCACAACTAAAAGGGGCAATCTGTTTTATTGGCGTTAGTTGTCTTCCATAGTTAAGCTAGAAATGTACATTTACATTTTGGAAAATAAATGCAGACTTGTCTTGTTGTGTAGGGAAGGGGGCGGGAATGCAAACGGAGATGTTATTCATGAAGTAATTTTTCATTGAATTGAAATTTCAATACGTTTTAAATTGAACATGTATTTTCTTAGGAAGGTCACTTTTCCATGAGACAAATATTGTGAAGAAGGAATCATCAACGAGAACGTCTCAATCATTTTTTGGTGGTTTCTTTCCTTTTCTTTGTCCTCATGGTGTTTCTCTGATCTGGCACATCGCACATCTTTTCTTTAGGGTTAAACAACATGGCCTCAGGACACTGTCTCTCCTCTGACACTCCATAAGAGCAGACGACAAAGCTCTTTTGTTCGAAAGGATTTGTGTAGATTCCGCTTGACTTTCCGATGCAGAAGGACTTCAATCCTAAAAGAAGAAAGTCAAATGTTACTGTGTCATAATCGTAACTCAACAATTTCCCATACCCTATCATCATGCAAGAGGCTTATCGCTTTTGAGGCTACTAGAACTATGTCTTCGATTTCGCTTGTTGCTCAGTGAAATATTCGATAGTCAAATCAAAAGATCTGAGCCTCAAGTCTGCACTGGTTTTTAGGTTTGATTTTTTCCCCTGCACGTTTTTCTCTACAAAGTTTACCTTCATTTCACTCATACGCGTATTTTTGCATGTTTTGCCTTTTAATTCAGAGATACAGAGAGAATAATATTCATTGTATGATAAAAGTGTCCCTACGTGAATCAACTTTTGGTTTGCGCATCCCTCCTTTGTAAGCGTTCATTTCTGATACTCCAGGCAGTCCACCTGTGACAGACACCCTGCCTGCTCTGTTAGGCAGGCCTTTGGATCCTTTATCGTGTTCAGGTTTAACCGACCCAGTGTTTTTGTTGGTTCCCATCCCACTAACACTTTCACCTGAAACCAAGAAATGTTTTCTGTTAGTCTTTTACCCCCTTTTTACATAAGCTACGCTCGGTATAATCTTTTTTTATTTATTGGCAAAACCATGACCAAATGAAAAATGGTATGAGTATTATAATAAGGTAAACGACCTCTGTTTCCAAACAAACCACAATCCAATTCATTGTCTTTTGCGATTTTCTCATGCTGTTCCCTTTCGGATTTCCGATTTTTCTTTGGCAAACTTATTTGTTTTTTCTTTTTTATCATTTTGACGAACCATTACGGTGACAAAACAAATTTAAGATTACTCACCACTGCCTCCGTCCTCTTGAAGTCGAGTTATCAAATATTCACCCTGGACCGAATCACCTTGGTGAGTATTAATGCCGAGGCTATGCTCTTGGGGCTCTGTTGAAGAATCTTCTCCTTCTGTGTGTGGACTTTTCCACCGAGAAGCTTCATATTCCTGCTGTTGATAGCCATGACTGTGATTAATCGAGCCATCCATGCTTGTCATATTCTCTGTTTCAGGATCCCCATCACTGAATACCATTCCCTGCGTAGCAATAGCGTCAAGGTATTCCTTGTTTGCTTCTAAAATACTCTGGGCGATATTTCCACCATCTTCCACTGCCTTGGAATCATCTTGAGATATTCTCTCTCGAGCCGTTCCTGTTACTGTCTTGTTGGTGAAACTGGATAACATAGAAACGACCTCTTTGCCCTTAGAATCTAACTCAAGCGGCCTATCGATCAAGCTTTTTAAGATCTGCACGATGTGACCTTTAGCACCTGACCGTCTGTTCAGAGGATTCAAAATTCTCCCAGGAGTTTTTAAAATTATCTTTAGTTGTGGACGGCTCTGAATTTGAACAAAATCGTGAGGACTTAGCTGCTCTTGCTCAAGAAAAGGACTTTTCATATTAGCATTTTCTAGTTCCTTTGTTACACTGTCCGATTGTAAATTGGCTTGAAACTTGTTGTTCGTAAAAATCTGTTTTTGCTCCCTGAATTTATCAGAGGCCTTTGCGTTGCCAGGTTCTTGAACTGGGCCCCCAGTCACAACTGGGTCCTTTACGTTGTTACCAGTTTCGTACTTCTCACCCACAGAAACTTTTAGATTAGAAGAGTTTTGGATGTTGCTTGCAGCACTCTCGTCCATTGTAGTTGCTTTTTGCTCTGCCCCTCTCATCTCGTCAGGTTTGTTGTTGTCGCTGATCTTCATAGTCTTTGTATTGTCGTCGGTTTTCACTTGCCCTTGCTCTGCGTTTTTATTTGTTTCTAATGATACCGTATCGTTATGGTATAAAGTGGGCACGTCTCCATTTTGCTGTTTAGAAGAACTTTTTAACTGCTGAATGGGAGTTTTAGAAGCATTTTTCTGCTGGGAAAGGTTTGTTATATCCTGCATATGAGAAGGTGGTATTATAATTTTTGTTAAATTCATCGGGGGTGCACGCGATTCTTTCACTTCTTGTTTCTGATTCATTGACTCTGGCTGACCAGTTTTAAACGTTACTCGAAAATCTCCAAGTTTAGAATTGTTCTGGCTGACAAATAATTTCTGCGGCGATACAATAGGTTCAGGTTTTGATCCATTTACTGGCAACGTTGAGGTATTCGTCCTATCTTCCTGTATCGCGAAGTCATTCTCAGGGCATTGGGACAGAGTGCAGTTAATCACAGGTTGTTTTCCACTGTTGTCCATCTTAATCTTAAGTTTAAAGTGAAGTGGCATCGAACTAATTGAATCATTAGAGCTAAATGAATCTGTCTTGCCCCCAAAATTGGCATTCTCTGAGTTATTTTCGTTGATATCAGTTGTAAGCTGGCCAGGATTTTTTAACATCTCACCTTTGCCAATGTGAAATTCTGATGAGTCAACTAGAACTTTCCGACCGTTGTCAGCGAAGGAATTGGTGTCTCTAAACTCATCTACTGGTTCTATGGTATGTTCCCCATCCTGTCTGTTCTCAGTGGTAGTCTTCATTTCATGGTGCACACTTGGAAGTTGAGGATGTGAACCATAGATATTTATAGCAAACAACTTGTGAGGGGTTGTACTGAAATGACCTAGATCATTTGGAGATAAATGGTTTTCAGAAATATTTGCCAAACTCTTATTATCTGCTGAATCACGCAAATTTTTCATGTGTCCTTCGTCATTTCGCCAATCCTTTTGATCTATTGTCTGGCTCATGTTGCCTTTAATCACTGGCTGTAATTTTTGTGTTAGCAACACTGAATTATTGCCCTCAATCGTTTGGTTGGTAGTATTTCGCAAGCCCTCTTGGCCCTTGGATTTAACGTCCGTTTCTGGCACCATTACGGGCTTTTTGGCTTTTCCATTTAGTGGAGGTGACTCCACTGACATGATATTTGCGACATTATCTTGTAAATGTCCTTGGTATCGTACAGGACTCGCAAGTTTATTTTGTGTTCCTCCAGGGGGCTGCTGTATTGCATGACTTTGGACACCGTTGAATATGTTGATTGAAAACAACTTGTGCGGGTGTGAAACCTTTGAAATCACCTTGTCATCTTGCTTAGTCGGTTTTTCGCTTTCACCGACAGAAAAAACCTTCAAGCTACCATCACCTGGTAAAGAAATCCATCTACTGCCTTCTTTTGAGTCAAATGGCCCCCCAGATTCAGCTTCAGCGCTAACAAATTTTACATCTTCCGGCACATCACAGGAAGATATCACTGGATTAAATTTTAGTCCAGTTGGACAAAATTTCTTTGTTGCCTTTTCACCTTGGCAAACGTAAAAAGCGGTCTCGTCTTTTGGATCTGCGTATATGCCATCCTCTTTGGACACGCAGAACCCTTCATCGCCTATTGAGAATCAAAACAAATAACGGTCTTTGCATGTAGCTTTCATATTCTAATTATCTGGAATAACTTTTCACTGTAGAGAAAAATACAACAAACTTTGAATTTCTCATGAGTGATAGTGCAGGTATATTGTTTCATAGATGGGTGTTTGGGTATGCGTTTACTATCAGATCAAGAATCTAGCGGGCGGTAAAAGGCAGATCGAAGCTTAGCTCGGGATGGATAAAGATAACAATATATTTCTTCCATTATCAAGCCACGGAAATAACTCACGTTTAGCCTTCAACTAAAAAAAAAGCCAATGAAAAGTTCACTAAAAGGAATTTAGAGGCCAGATCTATATTCCAATATTATGAAATTTGTATCATGTTATTGATACGTTCTTGTTATGCCGGTCCACACATTATGAGAGCTTGATAAGTTTTAAAAAAGAGGCGCAATAGGGAGACTCTTGTAAAATAGATTTACGAAATATGACAGAAACCTCGTGCACGCGTACCTTCAGGAGAAGAGGGTCTGTCACCTTGACCATAACATTTAATTCCTTCTGGTGATCCACCTATGGGAGTCGTAGGAGATTAATATTTAAGTTCAAGGCCGAGGTTTTTTACACAGCCAAAATGAAACCAGAATTACGTTGATTAAGACAGGAGATTCCTATTAGGAAACATGGACATAAAATATTGCTTCTCTGACTATCGAATCAGCCCATCAACTGATGAATAAGAATTTCAAACGAATTTGATCAACTAAGTATGGAAGAGTTTACTTCTGGTCTAGTAATCAGGAGAACTTTTAGTGTCTCTCACCTCTCATTGCAGTGTCTGAGAACTGAACATCAGAATTGATAACCTTGTCGTTTTCTAGAGCGTTGATTGTCGCCTCCAGCTGTTCATTCATGACACTTGTCAGGCGCACCTTCAGTGGAAATGAAACAGCACCCATTCCTTCGTTCGTGAAGAAGTTATTTGTCGTTCTTGTGAGGCAAAACCACTTGCCTTTTACACGTTCAAAAGCTTCAATGCCAGCCACAGGAATTCTATATAGCAGTAGATACATGGAAACGTTTGGTAATCGAACAGAAAGATAAACGGGTGGGTCTTTTATGGGTTGGTGTACGTGGGTAGGTCACACTGAGGTTGCTAACGGCGAAACATACTTGTGCCGTTACTTACTTAGCATTTGTGGCTTGCAGTTTGAAATACATGTCATTACTGCCAGTGAAACGAAACTGAATGTATCCTGTTGGTCCCTGGGCCGATGGGCAGTCAGCAGCTTTGAAGCTGATTTCCCAAAGACCACTTCCAGTCTGTGGAGGAAGAATAGCCAGGTCTCCTAAGGTGGAACAAGGATAGAATTGGGTTTGTTTCAGATCTCACTGAGAGCCATGATCTCCCATGAAAAAAGCAAATTGTATTATTCAACGATTACGCGCCATGACCTTGTTCAAAATTTCTAGCAAAAAATGCTTTATTAGAACTTCTCAGAGACTATCAGAGCAATTGCAATATTCAACATAATCAGAAACGTCATCATAATTACAGTAAAATACTGTCAGCACCTTGATTCAGTGACTCGTCTTGGTCGACGATTATTCCTTTTAAGCTTCCTTCAACTGGTGGTGAGCCGTCCAGATCTGCTGCAGCAGGTTTTCCACTTCCAACAATGTTAAGGCACACTCCGCATCCAAGAGAACCCTGGAAGTCATGCTTTGATGCAGCCACATGAACTATTCCTGGTGTTTTAGTTATAGACGGCGGCAAGTCCATTGAGCAAGCGTTATTTCCAGCGTCAGCATACTTTGCCTAGGTCATTCAGTAAAATGAAATATTACAATTTGAAGAACTTTGTAACGTTTCCTCTCCTTGGGCGGGTAACATAGGTTTGAATTGAAGATCTGCGCATTCAAACTATTTTCCTCCGGAAGTCTAATTAACTGACCACATTTTCCCGCCTTCATAACACGCTTCCTAATCTAGACCGAGTGCGTTAACTAAAATGTTACCATTAAAAAGCAATTTTGTGACAATGCATTGTGCGACGTGATCCCACTCTAAGACTCCAGGGGGGGGGGACTTTTTATGACCATCTTAATCAGGGGAAGTCCCTTACTTCAACTTACCTTTCCAGTTGAATCACTCACAAATCTGTTGTACATCGCCTTCACGTTTTCAAGTGTTGTGTCTCTTTTGACGAGTGCGCCATTCTGGTGATTTAGAGGAACATCTGTTAAATTATGTATGCCTTTTATCAACAGTAATTTAAAAATGAAATAATAAGGAAAGGCTGACAACTATGCGAATACTCTGTTATCAAAAGCAGGTAGATTAAAATTTAAAACGAAGTATAACCTCCTTAAAAGTATCTTCCTGAGACTATCATCATGTGTAAAAAAATTCATATGGTGGTTAATTTCATGGACCATGTAATGAGCAGGCAATGCGTGCTGAAAATTTCGAGTCAGCACAAGCCATGTTATAAGAAATCCGCAAAGTATTCATTGATTCACATTTATATAATTCGAGTTAAAGCTCTTGTCACTGACCACGGATACAAACGACCTGTAAAGTTTAGCATGGAATTTTCTACCAAGAAGCAATGCATGGCGACGATGGAAAACAGGCAAGAATGAACGGTCTATTTTCTACTCTGACTGACTGACAGCCAGTCATAAACAGCCCCGTGGTGGTCATCTCTTAACATATAAAATATCGTAGCCTCACATTGCTTCTTATCCCCCTTATAACCTATGGCTGGATCTGTTCTGTTCTATAGATAATCGCAGGAGTTGACTTCGATTTTTACCATAATTACTTACCTCTTTACCATAACTAAGTACCATCCAGTCGATTGTTAACAATAAAACTAGCCATCTCTTTGAGACGTAAGACTTGTGGGCAGACATTGGGGAACTATTGTTCAGATAAAAAACAAACAGACAAACGCGATTTGTTCCTGATAAGTTCGTGGCCTGATGTAAAATGGATATTTTAGTCAATATAAGTGAAATACTCATTTCTCCTTTGTGAAAAAATACAAGAAGAGATATCTGTTTATATCGAAAATCCAATATTGAAGTGATTCAAATTGTAAGCAGAGAGGTTACTGATAGTCCACATTCGCTATCGTTAATTGGTGTTTATCTTCTAGGTACAAGCAAAATTCTCCACTGTTTCTTGACCTGAAGGAAAGGAAACAATTCTCATAGAGATACTACTGCAGCATTGGTAATTGTGATAAGGTGCGTCGAGTTTCAGTGTTTGTTGGGAGTCAAATGATAAAATTAGAAATTTTGTCTAACAATCATTTTCAGGTTTTTCGCTCGCAAATGTATTTAAATTGAGATTTCTATCATCAAATAACAGAATGAAATAATACAATTAGACCATCTTGCCACTGGCTAGTTCTTCCTTAAAACATTATATGATCCAACTTACCTTTCTATATAACTTACATACTCCAAATGAGCTTGCAAGATAATTTTTTTATCATATATTTTTGAAGGAAAAATTCAGTGATACGATTTCAATGCATTACTAATTTGTTTGACTCCTTCTTAAACTAATAAGGTCAAAAGGGCTTCATAGTGTCTTCCCCGTGACAGGTTACTGTCAAAAATGGTTACACGAGTACTTGACTTTTACTCACCAGAGAAGTTTTCACTTGCGCGTCGAAAGTAATCCGGGATTGCATTAGTTTTGCTTTACTTTGCTCTGTGATTGGTCCAGAAAACTCGCGCCACTTTATCAACCAATCAGATGCAAACGTGAACCCAACCACGATTTGGTCGCCCACGTTTTCCCGCGCTTTGGGTAGTTGGCTTGTTCTCATTACGAGTTTTCATCGGCTCTTTAGGGTATTTTCCTTTCTTCCTATTGGCTCTTAAGGGTATATTCCTTTCTTCCTATTGGTCGTTGTGATTACTTTTGTTTTGCTTTTACGTAATTCTCACAATTTCTCCATTTTGGTCTCATTAAGAAATACATCTCATTTCAAGTCACTCTTTGGAAATGTTTTAGAACTCTAAAAGAGGCAAATGGAAGGTAACACAAAACTTCAAGAACTCAAAGTTCGAAAATTACTCCATTTGACGTCGTTTCCAGTTGGCTACGATAAATAATAAACAACATTATAGGGTAAATTACGTTCATTTGATCATAAAATCATATGCGAATACTCATTGTGGTATTTAACTAGAGAAAGATCACACGTTCTCTCCTTCCTCTACGAAGAATCCTTTAATTTGATGCAATTGACCATGATTAAAATCTCACATGTCGCTCCTTAAAATTCACTTAAGTTATCATATGTTATCTAACGCTCAAATCCATTGTCCAAAAATCCGCTAAAATATTATACGAGATCTCGCTGGTTTTATACAACTTTGGTATTCTTGTATAATATGATAACCTTTAAGCAAACAGCACACATAATTACCGAGTTGCATACACATGAATGTTGCATTTATTTACATGAAGCGCTTATACGAATTAGAATAAAATTTTTGCACATTCACGTACACCAGCTTTGTTGAGCTGCTCACCGTGTTACGCTGGCTAAGTGGCGCATACTTTGCCACAAGATACATACTTGGCCTTGAAGAAAACTGAGTACTTAATAATTATTTCGAAACTATTTACATTACACACTTTTAATGCTGTGGTAGTGGCGCATGAAATCCACAACCTCAATCAGTTCTTGTTGGAAAATTGATGACACTTAAACCCTGCCAAAGCGTCTTTTTGTTTAAACCTTTCACTTCTGCTGTCAGTGACCGAAAAAGGAATATCTCCATGAAATTATAGAATGTATATTTTCGAGCAAAAGGGTGATGAAAAGGAAGAAAAAAATAATAACTGGTATGGTGCGATACCAGTTCACAGCGCTAAATTAAATGGAAGGGTATCGTGGAAAGTATCAAGGTTTTATTTACCAGGAAAGCTTTGGGGACGATTAATACCCGGAAAATAAAAAATACCAAACCAGTGTTGAGTTGTCGACATTGGAGATGACGAGCATCGGTGATCTGTGTTCACTCTTCCATGAGCATACCATCCAAAGTTATGCTCGCTCTTTCCCATCCCTGGCCTTCCATCAAAATTGCATCCATTGGCTGAACTTAAGTAGCTATCGATGTGCCAGGCGTGGTCAGTCGGTTGATTGGTCAGAGCGGTGCAGTTCCTACATTCATTGCCTCGGATGGCGATGTGTTCATAAATTCTACATTTGTTGTTGAATGTTGCAAATAAATTGTGGTGTTCGAGTTCCGCTTGTGCATAGTCCGTATACTGAAGACCATCTGTGTTGTAATTACACGTTACTCTGAGATGAGTCGACTGCTCGGCAAGATACTTCATGCGGGCCAAGGATAAGCGGTACAGGCCCCAGTCTATCTCTAGGAGATTGTCACGAACTGGAAAGCTATTTGTGAACGGTTGGCTACTAAACTGCAATTGCCGATCGATAGCAAAGGATTGTAAAAGAGTCCATATGAAGCTGGACGATGAGCCGATTTCGCAGTACACGTAAAATGGCTCGATCTCTCCATTACATATGAGGTACCTGCCAGATTGCCATATGCCGTTTTCTTTAGCATCCTTGCAACTTTTATAGCATCTATGTTCACACCGCTGTCCAGTATAACGAGCGGAGCAGCTACACGTAAACCTGGCATCATCAGGATCACAATTCTCCACGCACTCTGCTCCTTGAAAGCAAGGATTAGGCTGGCAACATCTGTTTACACACACATCCTTTCCTTTTACATAAGGTCGGCCTCCCTGTTTTTGAATTAAGTTTAAAGTTACACGTCAGTAGTTTCCCCAGTATATTCTCAAATTTACGCGCCTAGGGTATTTATTTAATGTAATTAACTTTATGGACCCATTTTTACTTGTAACTTCCTAAATGTAGAAAGACTGTTGCGTTCTTCAAATTTTACCTTAACCCTCCTCCCTTTTCTCAGTGTTTGTTTGTTTGTTTGTCTTTTGTCTTTTTAATTAAAAAGTTCACTTAACTTCTCACCTCTACTGAATGCATTCTAACCAGATCGTAGTACTGAGCTCCTGATTTGAATTTTAGCGCCTCTGGTTTCTTTCTTTTCACAGCGTCATTCAACTCGCAATTGTTCTCTTGGAGACTTGAGACGTAGTTGATGGATAAACATAAACAGTTGTCTCTGCACATCATTTGACATTGTGCAGCTGTCTTAACTGTGTATCTCTCAATCACATGGCCGTCGAGGGCGTGGTCGTCAACAACATTTTTTCCCATCTCAAACCTGAATTTTTGGCAAACTACTTTCTGTTCTTCGGTGAGAACATTAACAAAGCACAGAGCCATTCGGAGGGCTGCTACACTTATTATGAACGATATCCTATTCATGATCTAAGACCTGGGAAATAACAGAGATGAAAAACTATCGACAATGTCATCGTGCAGTCATCGTTAGCTTAGCGTTAATATTACCGATACCGTCTCCGTTTATGTAACCTTAACTGCACTTTCACAGATTTGAAATCGAGACTGCTGCTGACTGCTGACACCTTAAGATAAATAGGTATTCTAGAGACCTTCACCAGACAAGCAAAACATATAGTAGTGGATATGAAGAACCGTGACATATTACGAACTCATAAGAAATTTAGAACCACTCTATATACCGACTAGCGTCGAATGATGTTCAGATGCGACATTCCGACCACAGGTAGGGCGGGCTCTAGGTATAAATATTCCCTCTTAGCTAATATTACATAACTTTACAATATTCGGCAAAGGAAAATTTCCAGTCTTTAAAAACTTGGAAATTTCAAGTACTAGGATTTAAGTTAGTTGATTTCTTCATTGAATTTTTTGGATCAATTTATTGCGATCTAGGTGGTGTTAATGCTGTCTGGTTTTTTTTAGTTTGCAATTCCCAAAACTAGGATTCTTGGATCGACCCATAAATCACAGGGAAAATGCGAAAAACAGGACTGAAACGATATAAACTGTATCCTCATTTTTCCTGATTTGGAATCTACCACACTCTTCTTCTTCTGCTGATTCAAAATATATCATATTTTTTGGTTTCCAAAATACAACCATATCTCTCATAAATTTCCTTGCAATTCTGCCATTGCAAAATAACGATATAGCTCTGAAAATCATGTATATCAAATGTTGGCTACTGGTTATGTAATTTGCAAACTTCTCTCAACTAACAAATGTTAAAAATTTTTCAAACAGTAACATACCAGCTTGTTTCTGCAGTCTACAAGTACAGCTCTTCAGAAGTGCGTGCGTCAAGAAGGAGTCGAAGCCTGACTATGATTATGAGTTTTTGTATCTGTACCATATCATTACTTTGCAAAGATCTATTAACAATCGATGATTATTTCTTTTCAGAAGAAAAAGTCAGAAATAAACGCCGCGACAACTTAATGTAAATAATTTATCGTGTAAACTAACTTATGGAGCAACGTATGTAATTTACGATCATTAAAACGATTGTTATCGACCGGTTGTTGTAAAGCTTTTAGTCGTTGATGAGTTTAATATTCATTTAATTTAGATTTACGTCCTAAAAGTTTTTTTTTTTCCTGATCAGTTATTGTCTGGTACTTACTTTGATTTTGGCTATACGGCTCTCAATCGGTGTTAATGAGTTGAAATGATTGCGTAATCGCAGGAAAAGTCATCGTAGCGCGGAATAGATCGGAAAACTGCTACCGTGTTTTACCGATCTCCCTCGAAGAAAAATTGGTGAAAGCGAACTTTACATTTCATATTAGTTAGGGGGAAATGTGGAAGTAGGTTCAGCAGAGAGAATTCCGCTGATAACGACATTTGTTATAAAAGTTTTATGTATTTCTTTAAAACGCTCAAGACCAATATATGATCTACTTGAAAATAGCTCTTAGTGACCTTAAGGAAACTGGCGCATAGATAAATATGGATAGATGTATAGAATTCAGGCTTCGGAGGAAACTCAGATCACGAACTTGGCAAATAGTGAGAGCAGCTGAAATCCGGGCGCCCGGCCTATTTCCAAAAACCAGACAGATATAAGAGCAGTGATATAATCAAATTTAATCTCTTAAATGAATCTGAAAGGAGTTGCGTAACATTGGTAAACTATTGGTTCATACTGTCAGATGACGGGGATGTCAGTGCAGATATGTCCATTGCATATGAACAACGTATGCAACAAATTACCAGGAATTGAATTGATGCTAACTAAGTTCTTGTATACGACGTGATGCAGGAAAAGTATACGGACAACTGAAAAAAAGAAAAAGAAAAAGAAAGTAGTAATCATTGAGTAATAGCTTGAAAAGCTAAGCCTTACCTTACCTGATGGTCTCTCAATAGCTGCTTCAGCTGTTCAAAATACTCCGACAGCACACCAGCACTACACAAACATTGTGAGCTAATGGCTACTTTCCGAATGACTATTCAATCTAACAACACGTGCTCAGAGGAATGATGGTGCTCCTAGAGGCATATACAATGTAGGTTTACCTACATTGGGATGTGTTTTATTATAATTCCACCAGCGGAGGACTTATGGCGATGTAGAGATAATTTTCAAAGCTATCGATCGATTAATGAAGAATTGACGCACACAAAATCAAAGTCCTTCGATTCCGCCTTTGACGTTTCGAAAAAAACCTGCCGAAATCAATCCTACCTCAAAATGAGAGGTAGGTCTACATTTGTCGTTTTTCTCAGTAAAATTGTAATCTTCTTCCGATTGTTTTAGTCTATGGGTAGTCTGCAAAAGAACCAAATACAATTCTGAAGCCTTAGTGACACGTCCTAAAGTTATAATCTTACATTCATTATAAGTTACTGAAAGGCAGAAAGGCGAATATGAATGGCTTGCCGAAATTTCCGTGATGAAAATTGGTTATTTAAATTGGGTATTTATTTTGTTCTCACTTTTGGCAAAATACTTTGGCTTTTATGGATAGAATTTCCTTTTGCTCTTAACAAGATATTTTCCGAAGGAAAAGCTTCAAAGATCGATGAGTTTGTAATAACAGAAAAAAAGAATTTTATATATATTAAGGTATCATTGTAGGTGGTGCTCGCGAGAGCCGGTTATAACAGGATAAAAGAAGAAATATTGTTTATGATTTGAGGTATTATTTTAAATGGATTGACCGCGTTTGGAAACTTTCTTTCACGTGGCCACCTTAAAAGAAGATCTCATCAACCTGCTAATGTTTTTCTTTTCCTTTTGAATTTTTTAAAAAGTGAACTTCGCGGAGATATTAAGCGAGACCTAGCCAGAATTTATGATTCGCTTCGAATTTTTTCTCTTGAGAGATACACGATCCATGTAAATTAGACAACATTACGTCCGCATTATCTTTACCATGTCGTTCATCTTAAGATGACGCGTGTCTTATGAATTAATAGTTAAATTATATATTGAATCTAAGGTTTGGACATTACGCTCGTGATGGATATCAGTTGTCATTAAGAAACGGAGATAACAGATAGCACTGAGCTAACAACTAGCTAACTTATGGCGGTGGTCTGAAGAGCTTTAATTTTTTCATTTTTAAGGGGGCAAATAAACGTGCCCTGAATATTAATGATGTTTTTATTTTGTGTTTTGAAACATGCTAATTTACGTCTACGTAAGAGTTTGCATTTTATCCCTTTGCTTTAAAACAAAATTGGAAAGGAACGAACAGGGGCGATTCACAAGGGATTACCGTAATTGATTCGTTACTTCTGGGGGACGAATTTTATCAGGGGTGAATAAAAGGGGTAAGTTTTTAAAGAAACGGTGTTGCTGCGTCGGTGGGAGAGTATAACAGGGTATTTTAGTATTATCAACTGAGTTGATAACGTAAGTTGGCCATCGCAAAGAGTTTCAAAGCTGACGTTTAGCGAGCGTTAGCCCTTCATCAGAGCGAATGAAGGGTGGTTGTTTTCGCCCAGAGTAACTTCCTCTCTCGTCTGAGTGTGAGTTTCTATAAATATCTTTAAAAAATTATTCACGATAACTCATTTACGGTGATGTGTAGAGTTTCAAAGCTGACGTTTAGCGAGCGTTAGCCCTTTATCAGAGCGAATGAAGGGTGGTTATTTTCGTCGAGAGTAACTTCCTCTCTCGTCTGAGTGTGAGTTTCTATAAGTATCTTTAAAAAAATTATTCACGATAATTCATTTACAGTTATGTGTAGTGTTTGAAATATTTTCCGTAGTTTCTAGCTATACCATGAATATCAGTCAGAGTTGTAAGTAAAAAAAGAGGAGTGATACGAAACAATTTTTTCTTCCATGCAAATAAAGGTGTGTGCGAACATATAAAGTGTTTTTTCGTTTATATATGCATTCTGTTCTAGGAAACTATTTTCTTAGACATTGTTTTGACGAGCATTCGAAAACCTTAATGAAGTAGTGCGACGCGTCGGCGACGTGTTAGAAAACACGATCGTTTAGTTTTTATTACTTTCGTGAAATTCTGTTCCTAACACCGCCTCTTTCTTTCTCGGTATGTGACATTTAAAAGCAACGCTGTCTTCGACAAAGAAAATTTTAAAAAAAATTTCTAGAAGGTTTTTTTTCTATATTTGCATGCGGTGCTTATCCAGAGTTATTGGTTAAATCCCATGCTTACATGACGGAAAGGTTAAGTGTTTAAGGTCTAATCAAACGCATTGAATCTTGCAGCTGCTGGTTCGATCTGTTTATGGTACTCCGTCGGCACACATCTGCAAGTTAAAATTACGAGCAGTTAGCTAACAGCTACTGTCTGAAGAGCTGATTTTTCTTTTCAACTCCATTGACAAACTTGTCCAGAAGAACACAAAAGAAAAGAATTGCATTGTATTCCTGTGGAGTCTAAATAACAAAGTGATCCAAACGGAATTTTTTACAATCACTGATCGGTAAGTGAGTTGACGATGAACACTGAATTATCTAAACAATGTCAGTATCTTCTCTCTTACAAAATGGAAGCGTTGGCGCACAGTCTGTTGTAGTGGTATAAAAAGAGAAACTCGCTTTGTTCCCTCTCTTTGTCTTAACAGTTTTCAGGTATCTTAGATAAAAATTCTCACCGGTTAAAACTATTTAAATCGTAAGCTTGAAAAATTATATTTAAGTCTCCTAGAAACCAGACGATTTAGACTGGGAACCGAAGCTGGTATTTTTAAGAACATAACCAGTTTGAGTTCGTAATTAGGTCGAATAAAGAAGGAAGCTGAAAAGAAGTAAAGAAAGCTTAGTTAGATACGAAGCTGCTTACTTCTTGTCAGTAGAACTGTTCTGATGTTCCTGCTTAATTTAGCGGGCGTAAACTAATGAGAAAAGACAACTATGGGAATAGATATTTGCTCTCTTATTGAGGGGGAGGTGAAGCTGCATTGTTTCCTACTCACGAATGGCCTTTTAAAATCGTCAGGGACCTTTTTGCTGATAATTTTTCCGAAGTCAAGAAAAGGCTGTTAAAAGAGTGTGGTAGGAACCTTTTCAACTTCTTCAAAAACAGGCTGGCATTTAGCTACCAAAGACATTTAAATTCAACATTGGCAGGTAATTTTACTTCACATCCAATACACACGACTGAGAGATTCAACACGCTCTAAGTTCAGTATTCTATAATGACTGATAAAATGCAAATTATTTATCGAGTGCTAACTTCGATGCCTGACTCAAAAAGATTTCTTACCAAAACAAAAGAGATGATATACCTCAACTAAATTAAATAAGAAAAAATCGTGATGTCTTGACAATAAAATTTACCTAATATGTCATTACTGAGCTAATGAAACAAATAATATCGACAGCTTTCTAACCAAAGACACAAACAGACACTAGAATATTTTTAGTTCTTTTAATATTGATGAACTCATAATTTAATTTGACTTTGTGAGATACGAGATCTTTGCGTCGTGTCGTGTATCTGAAAAGAACTAATAATCTACGTAATTTACAGGGCACCGTTTGTAAAATCGTTATTTGGACAGTTTTTTTCTATTGCATAATGCATATAGTTTTTATTTCCTTAGAAACCAATATCGTCCAAATTTGAACAAAAGTAAATATATGTTGATATAAAAACTAATTTCAGTGCTAATTTCATATAGCCATTTCCATTTTTAAACGCTTGCCAAAAATGGTGATTCGACGCCGCCCGGGTGCGAATATTTACTTGTCAGAGCTGCCTTAAGGCTGAGCCAATGTAAAAAGACCACACTTCATCTCCAACTAAAAAAAAAAGGCCGTTGAAAATAGATGCTGAATTTGATTATTTCAAGTAGTTTCTTTTCAGACGATGGTTAAACTGATTGTCATCGACGTGCTAGTAATGGAGCAGTGCATTTAATAATAGAACATTTCCTCTTGATGAAACTGAGGGCGTAACAGTGCCCCCCGGCTTATTTCAACTTTCCGGAACTCCGTGTTTATCAAAGATCTGTTAATTCTCGATTTCGTGCTGTGATAGCTCAAGGAGTCGAGCATTGTTTAAGAAATAACAAGTTATAAGGTATCACTCGTCTCAGAATTATCATAGCGGAGCTCGCAGAGCGTAGCCCCATAATTATACAAAATAGTAGTAACCCATGAAGCCGAAAAAATTTGGATGTACGACCGTACGACCGTACAACCGTACAAGGTGCTACTTTTAACATGCTTTTAACATGCGTGGTCAACATGCGTGGTGGCTTTGTTCAGTAGTCCAGTACTACACTGGGTTCCGAGTCGGACGACGCGGGTTCTAGTCCTGGCCGGGCCAAGGCGTTGTGCCCTTGAGACGTGCGGGGAAAAAAAATGCGAGCTCCGCTTTTAAGCTTGGCTAAATCTATATATTAGGTGAAGGTTGTACATCGCGTGAGGAATTGTTTCTTTGGATCATCTTGTTGCCACTCCGTTCGTTCTACATCATTGTTGTCATAATTACCTGATAACAAGAATTTCAGTTCAACTTTCGGAAAAAAGTAGAATTAAATTGCCCTTAAGCAGCTCAATGTCCAGCAAAAACAAGAACAAAGATTTTTTGAGAGATGGAAGAAAGCGGTAAAAAAAGAAAGAAAAGAAAAGAAACAACAAACGCTATAGATCGACTCAAGATATTCAAATGCGCGCTCAATCTCTTTTATTTGTCTGTTCTTTGTGGTGCTCGTGAAGCGAAGTTCATTGAACTCACCTTAGCAGATTCATTGGTCTAATTTAGAACAGACAACCCTCCACAGGTTCATTAATCTAATTTAGAATACAGCTTGTTACTGTAAAAGCAATGAATATTCATTTTTCCAGTGTTTGTTTTTTAAGAACCAAAGTACAAAAGGGTAAATTGCACTTAAAAATTTACTTACCTTTGAGTGCCATGCAAGTAGATACGATGCGATCTATTCTTCTTTCGTAAGGCGAGTGTCCACTTTTTTTTCTCCCCTAACATGAAAATTTGAAATACATCAATTGGATATAACTTAAGATTCCTATGGCGACATAAATGCTGAATATTTTTTAGTATTCATTTACTATAGTTACTTGTTTTTATTTTTGAAAAAATTGATTATTATTATTATCTTTTCTTAAAGAGCTTTGTAGCTTCGGGTTTGCAGTTCTTCAAACACACCATCAAAGTTTTGAAACGAGGAAATTAACACACTTAATTATAAACCTGTTTTCCAAGTTTTTTGCTGTCTTTATAAATACCCCTAAAATTCTGAGATAGCTTCAACAGTTTCAGTCGCATGTTGTTGGACATCAATTTACAGAAGATGTTTCTATATGTTTTATGACCTAAATTGAATAGCTTTATTTGTTCTCTTATCAATGTCATCAAAATGTTGACCCAGAGGGTTAAAGACACTAATCAAACGTGGTTTTTAGTGGTAAGACGAAACAACTTCACTTTGCGCTGACATAGCCGAACAAACGTGAAGTGATTTACATAGGCGAAAAGGGTTACAAAAGCGTGGTGGGTAACGCGCCGCAAGATTTCTGTTTTAAGTAATTTAGCTCTTATTTTCGTCAGTAAATGCTAGGTTAGGGTGAGCCTGAAAGTAGTTTGTGTCCCATAGTCTTCCGTTTAGCCACACTCTCTGTTAAAGGTAATTTCCATCTTGTTTCAGTAGATGACGATGACGCTCAAAGGAATCGAGACTTTGGCCAAAGAACTCCAAAACCGAGACATGAAGGTCGTGATATGTGAAACGTTTTTCTACCTGCTGATTATTTCGATGGCAATCGCTGGAAACTCCTGTGTTCTTTTGGCGGTGTATAGAAACTCAAGACTGCGGACAGTTCCAAACTACTACATTGTGTCGCTGGCGATCTCTGATATTCTTTTGCCCTTGTTGTGTGCTCCGTATTCTGTAACTGTGGTCATCGTTGGTCACTGGCCATTTAACGACAGTGTTTGCCAAAGTCAGGGATTTTTTGTCATAATTTTGGCTTGCGCCTCTTTGCTGATCTTAACACTGACCGCGATCAATCGATTTTTCCGAATGGTGGTAACGAAACATTACCGACAAATTTTTACGAAATGGAAAACCATAATTATGATAGTACTCGGAGTCGGCTTAGCTTGCTTGGAACCATTACCTTATTTACTCACGGGTCGACATTATGTCTTTCATCCTGGAAAGTTGTTTTGCTTTCAAACAGCTGAAATTTCCCTTCCAAATTTTATTGTGTATTTCTACGTTGGTCTGCCTACTTCTGCTTTAAGTATTTGCTATGCACTCGTCTTCAGGAAAATGCGCATTCACCAAAGAACAGTTCATAATCTACGTTCCTCTTCCTTGGCTGCGGATAACATTTCTCAAGCTGATGTCAGAGTTACAAAGATTCTATTCATCACGGTGATAGGATTTTTGGCCTGTTGGACGCCGATTGCCGTCATAGATTTTGTGGACACGTTCCGAGGTGAAGTTTCTCTTCCGAGACAAGTCTATGTTTTCTATCTAATTCTGGGAAATCTTTCAGGCGCTATTAATCCTTTTATCTACGGTTTCTTGAACAGGAATTTCAGACAAGAATATAGAAAGATTTTTTCGTTAAGGAAAAGAAGCTCAAGACTGCATCATTTGCAAATGGACTTACCATCATTTTCGACTCGACACCCTCAAATTTAGAACTCAATACCAATATTATTAGTAAGATTCTTCTTTGGTAATTCCGGTCAATGGACAACATATATGGTTTTATTTTGGATTTTTTTCGTTTTCCGTAGAAATGGTGGCTAGGAAATCAATGTTAAAGTATATGGAAGCACTAAGCTGTACAAATTTACATATATTTTGATTTTACGAGATGTCATTAAGTCCATCCAGGACATCTACATAAACTGAACGAAACAAATTATTTCATCACTTTTGTAGCGCATTTTTCGTTTTTTAAAATTCTCTGGTACTTTAGAAATTTTCGGCGTATTTTCCATTATTTTTTTTCTTCCAAATGTTTGTTGTTTCCTTTATTTTGTCGGTTTGCTTTGTCAATAACCACAAAATAAACACGACACGGAAATAATTAATTTCTCCTTTAGCCGTCGAAGGACACAAGTCAAGATGTTTGACAGTCGGTAATAACTGATAAGAGATCAGAAAAGCAAAAGATCCGACAGTTTCCTTTATGTCAGGGGACAGCAAGTAATGGAAATCTCGAACCTGCGACCGATGTAAATACTGAGTCAGGAGTAAAATAAACGAAATTTCCCACTGCTTTATTTCATCGCAGGGTTTCTCTATTTTCACTCATTTATCCGCTGCGGATACAGTCCTTTTTTTTCTGACACCTTTCAGTGCCACTGTCACTTCAAAAGACGATTGCTTAACTCAAAGTATCTTGTAGTGACCCAGAGCCTCGACTCACTGGATTACGTAGTCGTATAATGACTCGTAGACATCTCAATACCATGATGCAAGTTGAAGGAAGATATTAACTAAAATGGATAAGATTTAATGCATTTAACTACCGTTTAAACTGTAGACGCATAATGAAAGGGGTCAGGTCTTTTCCGCAAATGTTATACTCTGTCTATAAGGAATATATTGCGTTTGAAAAAAACCCGTCAAAAAAGTGGTGCGTGGAGTTGCAACAAAACTTTTGTAAATAAGACTAAGTTTACTGCTCTTGTTGTTGTTTCATAGTGTCCTTTATTTTTTCTCTCCTGACTTGCTTGAATCGATTTGTTCGTCTAGAAATCTTCGAGGCTGATTTATTGAATGTCTTTGCCGTTTCATGTATTCTATGTCCACTGGTGCAATTCAACATTTGAATACAAAGTCGTATTATGAAAGACGAAATTCAATGAAACATATTAGATCTAACACCTTTAATTATCTTAGGAAACTGTGGACCCATAGTAAACATGGCTTAGTTTGTTCAGCTTGAATTATTTCTCCAAAGGCAGCATACTGCGGTAATTCCATTACGTTTTTTCTGGTTTTCAACGGACTCGTTTGAACTACTTTGGTCATAAGTTATGAAAACCAACGAGGCTACGTCTTCTCAATTTACTGATTTAAAGCCGGAACAGCGACGAAGTATAATTCACTGAACACTTTATGCAAGGTTTGAACTCCTTGTGGCATGAAGAAGACGATGTCAAACGAGAAATGTTGACCTCAACGCGTTTAATTATCATACGAACAGCAATCTTGTAGTGATGAAAAAGTTTAAGATTATTCAGCTCAGCTCTTATCCTTCCCCAGAAAAAAAAATTACGGAATTATTTTCTTTTTTCAAGAGTTTATCCGCCACTTTTCAATTCCGTTTAACACCATATTTCAAGCAAAAAAATTATTTCATCCAAAACATATTAGTTTCATCGCTTTTAATTACGCACCATTTAAACAGAAGAAACATAGTAAATAGGTAAGGTCAAGTTTATTCAGCTTGTTTTATTCACATTTCGCGATCAACACTTAGTATTGTGTTTGTTACAAAAGTTATACATGAAGCCACAGTCGCGACAGACAAAAACATGACTAAATTACTTGACTGTACGAAGCAAATAGAAAGTGGCAGCTGTCTGAGTCTTTTTTTTTACTGAAGATTTTTTTTTTTTTAAGATCAGATTTAAAAAATTGTAATTCGGAAAGGGGAAAATGAATTACAATTACTCCTCCTTTTTCTTACTTCATTTCCGATGTTGTTATAATTGTTTGCGTTTGACATTTTTTGTTTGCGTTCGACATTTTTTGTTTGCCAAAGTTGTAAAGCTCCTCCACAAATACAATAACCCTTGTCAGTCATTTGCATAAAAATTATATTATTCTTTCTTTACCCAATTTTCGCATAGGAACCTTCTTAATTTCTTGCCACAAAAGAATACAAGACTGGATAAGAGAAAGAAACAGTAGAGCAAAATTACATCGGTGTTAGTCAGCTATCGATAGCACATTTACTGCAAAGGGAAAAAAAAACAATTTTGTCTGTTTTCTCCTGCTTCTCATTTTATCTTAAATATGTCAAGCGAATACTGAAAACCAAAATATCATCTTTTTTCATGAAAGACGAAATTCGCACGATTGGCATACGTGGTTGAGAGCAGAAACAATAAACTTATAAAACTCTTGCCATTTGTCATTCGCTCGGATCAGTTCAAAAGTTTATGCAAAGCTAAAAACTTTTGTGAGACGGAAATCATCACACTCGCTACACTCGTTCGAGAGCTATATGGCGGCACGTTGAAGTAGTCATTGGTAAGACATGGGTCCCAATGGCGCAATGATTTCCAACGATCACAGCTCTGTTCACTTTGTATGAATTCATCGTAAAATATATGAACGCAGATTTTTTAATATGTAAAATTCAGCCCTGATCCTGCGTTTTGCACTACAGAGCATTGTATTCAGTGTCATAATGAAAACGATTAGAAGGGATTATCGACATGAACCCGTCACGCGCCTTAGTAATCATAATCCCATACAGCTTTGCGGGTGTGATTACTTCATTTTCGGACTTTAAAAACACTACCAGCTTGTGTACTGCTCAGAGTCTCGCACAAATTTGACGAGTGGTGATGAAAGGATGAAGCCAAACCTGTTAAGTCCGCCGCCCGTTTCGTAATTCCTTTTTCGTGCAGAACTTAAAGTAAATTTCTGATTGAAAGCACCGCTAGTGATCACAAAAATGTGGAAACTATCTCAATTCTTCAGTTTTTCAGCTTTTTCTGATCAGAGGCAGTAAAACTGTATTTCAGTGTAATGGTAGTGGCGTGCCCGAGAAAAAAATCGTGTAGCAAAAACACCAATGCCATTGAAATGAGATGATCAAAGCCTATAATCCACCAGCAGTGTCGGCAAATCAACTGTTATAATTGGTGAGCGACCAAGATTTGCCACATTTCACGGATACCTTGAGGCTGCACGTGATTTGATCTACCTTTGCAGTTATTAGATATACTATTAGCTAGCAATAATAGAAGTCATGAACAGAAAAATATTAACAGCTTTTCACTTAAAACGTTTGCATAAAAGCAAATACGTTCGGTGTTTTTGTTTAGATTGTGAGAAGCAGGTGGGAGACATGATTAGTCCATTGTGTTTTGATGTTTTGAAATTGGGGAGAGTTAACGGAATCTTTTGACTCTTTCATAAAAAATAAGAATTTTGCGAGAGCTTTTTTACGTCCACTGGCACTATTCATAACTTGGTCTTGCTACTCTGAGGACTCGCTGCTAATGGCCTTTCCGACAGCTGTGCTAATTCTCTTGTGTTTTTCAACTCTGGCAAGTAAGAGAACCCAATTTTGGTTATATGCTTCTAATTGTCATTGCGGTAAATGTCGGAACTGATATCTAATATTCTTACAAACGCAGGAGGAACCTGGAAATATGGAGATAGTGATGTTATTCATGGAGGCGAGTAATTTTTTTCTGACCGGAAATAACCGTTACTTTACAATCTTTATCCGTCTGGAAGAGCAGTTTTCAAATTTGAATCCACCACTATTTCTATTAACTTTACTGCGTGATTTTTTTAAGTAGCAAAGGTAATTTCAGGAAAATTTGTGACCTCAAAGAAAAGAATATGTTTATAGAAAAGTACTCGATCCGTTATAATTGTGGGAACTTTTTTGTTCACTACCTGATTAGTTATAGGTAAAGAAATAGGGCTCTTTTCGATTGAGTGTCCTGAGACCAAGTTACTTGTCAAAGGGCACTAAAGAGAACTGGAGATAAACACAAGTAAATGTAAATGGTTTGATTAGCTGAGATAATGGTGCGAGTTTTCTGAACCAATCAGAGAGTTAAGTAACCACAGAGTCAAGGTTATGATCCTAAATCACTTTGAGAAATCAGTTGGAAGTTTTTGTGGTTGTCTGACTTTGAATTAAGCATAAGATCACGAATTCAAGTGTAAAAATATCCATCAGGGCGCGTGGAGAACGACATGATGTTGACAAAGCAGACATTATACGCTGTTGCACTAACTTAAAACTGCATTTTGTTTGATACAGTTTATGGACCCGATGCATGGGGAAATGTTGCAAGTTCATGCCGTCTGGCCGACCAATCACCAATCAATATTGCAACCAAGACGGTAGAGTCTGATTCATCTCTGGGAGAGCTGGACATCACGTGTGACAATGAAGAAGGATTGTTCAATGGAATACTGCTGAATAATGGATATGAGCCAATCCTAACAGCGGATTATAAGAGAGGCACCTGTAACTTAACTGGTGTCCCTGTGATTAATAAGAACTTTCAGCTGCATGATTTAAACATCCACTTTGGATGTGAGGCTGATCGAGGATCTGAGCACACTATTGATGGGAAAAGTTTCCCAGCAGAGGTAAGGCGCTTATAAATACGTCAAAACTTTTTTTACCATTGTGTTGCTCATATCGAATATAGGCAACAGCCTTATTTACAAATCTAAGTCTGCCCTAATTAGCCAATTGAAGAGGAGTGATTTATGATGCGACTATTCCGATAGAACACTTTTCGATGATTTGCTGAGTCAAAACAAAAACCGATTAGTACTCTTACAAACTACAAGCTAAGCTTTCGAGATTACTTAAAACCAATGCTTTGAAGTTTAGATTCTGACTGCAATTACAAGTCAGCTTTTAATTATTACATTCAAAGTCACGAGTCAAGATTGAAGATCGAACAATATTTTTTTTTTCATCCTTACTTTATAAACTGCATTTGAAGATGTTGGAATCTATTGTTTAGGTTCTGTTTTCAGATTTGTTTCATCAACTGGGTGGCTTCGGTTACCATAAATCCACTCTTATAGTCATGTCTTTATTTGTCTCCAATCTCCACACAGTTGCAATTGATGTTTTACAACACAGAATATGGGTTTTATGACAATGCAGCCTCAAAAAAGGATGGCTTGGCGGCCATTTCAGTATTGTTGAAGGTAAGACATATTCCCTGGGACCATCGCTATAACGTTGTGTCATTTCGTCCATGTTGGTTAGTTTTCTAGGTATTGTAAGGCTATACATAAGTTTTTGGAACTATTCTAAATACTTCTGTCATAACATGCATATGATCATGGCAGGTTATTGAGGAAGTAGTTTAGGACGTAACACGTAGTCTTACATGACGTAATGGTCTACAAGACAAAAAAAAAAAAACAAAACAAAACAAAACAAAAAAACAAAAAAACAAAAAAATGGACGTCCATATTGGTCATTGGATAATCTAGCTAAATGGAAATTTTTAAATTCGGCGACCGTCATCAGAAGCTTCAGGTTTTAGCTTAGTTTCATTCCTTTAGCCTCAAAATGACTCCTTTCATTGTTTTGTTTTGTTTTGTTTTTTTGCAGGTAGGGAAGACTGAAAACAATGCACTTGATAGCATTGTTGATCAACTGGATGACGTTGCCGTGGAAGGTTTGCTCATGTTGTATTTACATGCTTTGACTTTCAGCGGGAATATGCAAGCAAGAGTTTATTGTAATGTATATTGAAAGATAAGAGCATGGGTTAGACAACAACACGTGGCTATTGAGCCACTCGCACTATCGGAATCGTCAGGACTATTGATCAGTATTATCTAATGTAAAATTTTGCTTTTGTCATATGAGCTAAATTATATTAGCATCCACCTCGATTTCTAACTACAGGATCCAGCATCCCTGTTTATACACCGGCTGACAATTTGACCTTGGCCAACCTTGTTCCGGACCTTGCTAAAGAGCATGCGCCTTACTACACTTACATGGGCTCACTAACGACTCCTCCCTGCTACGAAACCGTGAAATGGATTGTCATGAAGAACCCAGTAACCATCACTAAACATCAGGTATTCCACCATTCAGAGAATTATATTTTTTCTCCTTAACCTACCCCTCTTATCCTACATATTTAGCGGTTTTGAAAAAAATGGTCACCAGTTCTCCCGCTTGCTTAGTTTCAGAAGCAAAAGACTGGGATTTACACTTAACGAGATTTGAAGAATAAATAACGTTTTTGGAAACCCATGCTGCTCTTTTTTCATAGTTGATGAGGGATTTAGAAGCGTTGAAAGAATTTCAAATATCAGCCCCTAATCAAAGGCGTACATGTAACTCTTGTCTAATGCAAATCGTCGAATGAATGATCTCATTTCCGAAGGTAAATTATTTTTAAAACCGACCTGATTTTTGTTTAGTTTTATATACTTATATGTCTTTTTCGTTTCAGCTTGAAGCGTTCAAGAAACTCACGTCAGGACAAGGTTCTGAATGTGACAATTTCCGGCCGACTAAACCAGTGAATGGTAGAAAGGTGGAAGCAAATTTCTGATTCAGGTTAGAAACGCCACAACTTTGCTCTTCTACTCGGATTTGTTCTTTCTCTATTTCATTTCTCCATACAGTATGGTGCATTTTCCATCACATGTAAATATAAGTTTTATTACGTTTGTGTTTTCTTTGTCATTTTGGTAATGGTGACTTATAGTGTTTCATTATCCATGTTGACGCAGATCTAGCTAGCAAACTTAAAAAGTGCAATCCTTAAAACGTCCTGACTTGCGTATTTTTCGAGAGTTTTAAAACTGCACTCTGTTTATGATTCTATCTCCATTTAATTTTGTTTAAAGCAGCTCACACCTACTGATATTTATTGTTAAAGTGTCATCCTCATGACCCGGGGCTGTTGAGTTTTCAAATGAGGCCTTTTTGATTTACCAAGGGTAACTACATAGATTAAATGAACTAGATGGAAGCTGTAAAACTAAAATAAATGAGAATTACTCTAATTACCTAATGTGAATGTTTGTCGAGTGACGCTACATACTAAAAATATTGAAAATAAAATTCGAAATAAACTGCTACACAGATTGCACTCTTCCTTCTCAAAGAGGAGGGGAGGAGTGGAGTATTGGGTTACTCATATCCAAAGACTACCCCATCTTTTCCCCAGATTTGATGCGAATCTTGATTTTCTTTGCAGGGAGACTCATTGCATAGGTCAGCATATGCAAGAAAGTGTTGTAAAGAAAAATTCACGACTTATGTCTTTGTAATGTCTTAGAAGATTCCATGGTCACATCCAAATTAATCGACGATAAATTAAAGGAGCGGCCGGGTAAACTTTTAAAAGCGGTTCTGTCGCAGTGCTTGTTTTATGCAGTTCAAAACTGAAAAATTTAGTCGGTCTGCATTTGACTTCATCTAAATGTCTCGATATGATCAGGTCATACGGTATTATGAGAGAAGAAACTGAGGTTTTTCGTCATCTACTTAACGTTAAAACGAATAAATTGAAGTGGGATTCTTGAAAGGAAATATTAACTTGGATAATTAAGATATATGTTAAGAGATGAAATGTTGATGTCAAACATCCGATTACGATGCACGTTAATTTACATTAAAAGTTTCAAATGAGCGTTATAATTATCAGTGTAAATTAAAACATTCAGTCTCGCTGTCCGTCTGTTGCTGTCCGTCTCACGTAATTTGATAGTTTGACGCCGAACCCCTAAGGGAACTGAAATGAGATGTCAACTCTAGATCTCTATAATTCCGGAAAAACCAGTCGTAAGGGGGTACACTCGTCGATAAAGTTGTTGTTAAAAGAACAAGATCAACAACAACCTTCCAAAGACAATGACACGAACCACAGACTTTCATTTAAGCATTTCTGGTCTTCTTCTCTCACTAACCTCTTCTTTGTTATCCATATCAATCATTCGATTTTCATCGTCTTTCATTATAAAATAGTAATGGAGTATCAAAGTATATATTCAACAAAAAGATAAATTTACTCGTACAAATGGACCTTGGAAACCCCCGGCCACCTAATCTTCCCAGT